CCTTTATAGATGGTAAAGCTACGCTGCAGCTATACAATGATTGTTTCCCTCTCCGTAAAACAGACACACTAGTTAAACAAAAGAATGTTCGTATATGATTCATGGGACAGAGAAAGGTTTGTAGTGCTGCTGTTTCTTATAGTGAGTGTAGAGAATCTTTTCACTGGCATTACAACTTAAACTTTAGGGGTGACAACATATCTAATACACTTCTTAATGACAGGTAGTGGCTTAGAGCAAGGACTTGCCCAATCGCGCTGACATAATGCGTGTTTGCAGACTTCAGATGACTTCGATTTTTTTCATTTCTCAGATATCCAAGTTCCCTCACGATATTTTCTTTCGCCGCACGTGATAAATCTGCACTTACAATTACAAGTAACCATTTCATTGATGCCGACGGGAATCGAACCTAGGGTTGCTCGCGTACTGTAAAATTTACGGCGGGCGCTTAGCCACTGAGCTACAACAGCTCTTTGGCCTCATGATAAACACGTACCCTTTTATTACAATCGCGAGTGGGGTTTTCACAAAATGTATGCCGAAGGTGTCACTAAGCCACACACCTCTCCGAACGCTCTCCATTCAAGGCTTAGAAATTACAATCCGAAAATGTCTAGTTTTGATGGATTAAAAACTGCATATAACTGGTTATAAGTTTTAAAAAATCCATCTACAAAACATCGCAATGTCTTAATATTTATCTGAGATAATTGAAAAAGTACTTTAAACTCCCCTTCTTTTCCCATTTAACATATCGTTTTACTTTGTTCTCTTACAAAAGCCATCAGTTCTTTTATTGATACTATTGATACATTTATAACACCTTTGAAACTTCCGCCGACGAAGCAAACATCGGCCTACAAGAGACATTTGAATACTCCCCGTCTCACTGTCCATAAATAAATTGAACAGGTACAGAGAAGCCACAGAACTCTTGTCTGTGTGTATCCCATTGTGATCCTAACACTAGCATTAATATACAAAAGGCATTAAAACTACAAAGAGGTTTTAATGCCTGTATTAGCGCAGTGCTCAACCCAGTCGTGGCCAGTGTGTTACATAATGTACCATTCTGTTATGGGCTTTCTTCAAATCTTAAAATGCACAGAAAACTTTTTTGACCAAAAAGTTCTCTTAGTAAAGACCTGATCTGTACACCTCATCCCTGATTCTGCTTGTACATCCAAAATATTGTCGCTATCCTTTTGATATTTATTATTGCTGCTTTCAGCTGCTTTCGGCACACTTTAATGTTCTGAGATAATTTCAGTGATAACTAAAATAATACGAAATCCGTCATTTAGGTAATGAAAAATATTTTTAGTTTTGGTACAACACGTGTCTATTATCATCTTCATAATCAGGCCGTAACAGCCTACAGCTGGACATGGGACTCGCGTTGCAGAGAGAATTTGCCATAATCCCTACTAGAAATGTGTTCTACGATGATTCATGCGCGAGTCCGATTCGCACTTTGCCGGCTTTTATTATCAAATAAACTCTCTAGGAATAGATGAATAACGAGCATCTTGATCACCATTTATACCATGAATGCCTGGTGGTCCACTACTGAGCGATTTACCATAAGTTTTGCTCCTCGCAAGACTTCTTTGTGAAATCGATTCGGCTATTCGGATCGGAATCGACTATTTTTCGGATTGATACGGCTTGGGGAGCTTCAAGCAAAGAGCCTACTTCTATTTAAAAGGCCGGCAACGCACCTGAAATACACCTGGTGTTGCAGTTGTTCATGTGCGGTGGCAGTTACCGTCACGTAAGTTAGACCGCACGCCAGCTTCCTCAATTTTCTATAAAAATCAAGTATTTTTAGCCGACTTCAAATAAAAGTGTAGCTTGTTAATTTGTTTGTTGCTAGGTTGTTGTTTTTTATGCATGTATGTATGTTACGCGACATCTTCGTCAGCAACCCTTGGAAGGCGAATTGGCGATTGTAGTACCAGATGTGTTACACACTGTGTCTTGTAAACTGAATTGATATTCAATTAGAAATATTACTGGATGTCACGTGCTGTTGTTTAGTTTTAACCTCTGTGTGCTCAGTTCTTTGATAGTTTGATAAAGCCATTCATTAAAGTTGTAACGATAAGGCGAAGTAATGGTATTGAAAATTAACGGACGGGTCTTATCTTGTATTTTTATTTTTTGACGTTAAATAATGACATTTTATCAAAGCTATCTTAACACTACTGCTTCCTTGAGTGAAAAGCGTAAATTTACATATTTAAAACATTCTCCGGTGATTTCTTAGTGTAGATAGGTACAACCACTTACTCTGAAATAGATTTTGTATACTTTATGTATTCGATAGTCGTACATTTTCTTCTCTTTAATACAGATAATACATTTTGTTGGCGAAACATTAAAAATATATATTGTTTGTTCGTTCTTTTAATATTTGGTGCATTTATTTGAGGTGTAAAAAAGTTTAAGGCCCTTAACACGTCTTATTACACCAAGAACACCAAAGAATCTTTACAAGTCTTACGCGGATAAATCCTGTTAAAACCGAAGCTTCCATTAAAACTGTTAGCGTCTTCGCCTTTGCTGTCTTTTAATTGGTATGTTACGACGAACTTATCAGTTTACGTTGAGAAGCGAACTGTTGCAAACGTACAAAATTTTTACGCCGATGTTTTTTTTCTGTGAGATAATGTATTTCTTTACATTATACATTGTCTGAGCCGCAACTTGACAGTTCGTTTAACCTAAACACAGTCGCTCCGCAGACGTTCAAGCGCCCAGCCGCCGCTTTCGGTGACTTTTTTACCCGTACTGTGGATAAAGGATAAATAGTGCAAGGAGATGACCGAGTTGGCTCTCAAATCCAATCCTATCCGCTTACCCTTGCGTTTTTCGTCGTTTTACGAACTCTACAAGCGTTTCCTCAAAGATCATGGATACAAGTGGCACGATGTTACTAAGCTTTTGAATGTAGTGGCTGAAATACTCTTCGATGTTGACGGTGCTTTTAGTAATATAGCGGGCAAGGTCAGTATTCTGGGTTAGTTGTGTTTTTTTTTTTTTTTTTGTAAAACTGAATATTATTTTTAAAATTTAAAGCGTAAATAATAATTAAACAAACTGGTTTCATACGAAATAGTTGAAAGAGCAACACAATCCCCTAACGGTTTTTTAACCGGGGTCCGCGGACCAATAGTAGGAAGGCAAATTTTACCTGCACCCCTTGATAGAGATTTCAACGTTTCGGAACAGCTGATAGTATAGTAACGGCGGTCGTATAAATCATGTAGTGCTAACGTTACGATTATTTATAGTTAAATCCACCAATTTGTGAGTTAATTCCACAATGAAGCTGTTAAAAGTGCTAAAAGTCGCTAAGGAAGTCGTTAACTTTTTCACACTAACACTGATCGATGATCACGGTTCCCCAGAGGTAATGTTTGTATTATTCATGTAAACATCATTTAACCTGTACGTGGAAGCGTTATTTGCAAAATGCATGCATTCAATTGAACTATATAGCCTGAATTACAACAACATATTTAAACACATAGGATTTAAAAATGCGCGACGAGATCGCCATTACAATCGAACCACCATGCAGATACATTTGTGAAGTGACAGTACTAATGCATGTAACTGCAATAATAGTAACTTGCAATAATGAAACGCCGTGAATATGAGATATTTTAACATCTTTACTTTCTGTTGCGTCGAATGTGCGAACGTACATTATTGTTCCGGCACTGAGACGTTTTATTACAACGTTAATAGCACACTAACTCAAATAAGAAAACTAAACCAGTTTAAATTGTAAGATCAATCATTAGGAGCGGAATACCCGACGGAGATAGCAGTGTGACGACCGGCAAATGTACATATATTGTTTACAATATGATAAGCCGAGGCACGAGAAGTATTCATGATACGGGAACGCTTTTTATGCCCGCATCCGTTCACCACTGTATATAACAGATAGATAAGGGAAGCAGTAGAAGAGAATTGATAATGCTAGATCAATGAAGATTGAGATTGACCTTTAAATGCATGATAGCAACGGTGAGATGATTAATCTTGTGTATTTATATAGTGGTTTATGCATGCATATGTAAGACACGTCGGTACATTGTTCACCCACTGACCCAATTACCGAGCGTATATTGACAGAACTGTCTTGGCGCTCGGGCTCGCCGTTCGGAGAAAGGTATCTGCACGCATCATCGGTGTCGTTAAGAGCCTCATTACAAGCGTGACCGTCGCGCAAACACAGGATGAAATGAAATACCAAACGATCTGTCATTGGATATTGTTTTCACCGGTTACTCGTATCGCACCGACAGTGTTGCACGATTCAAGTGAAAGTCGCACTCTAAAAATGACCCTAATACGCTTAAGTGATTAGCGACACAAATAGATTTCAACTACGGTTTAATGGCCAGACTGCAGAATAAGACGTCTAATACAGTAAAAGCAGTACTTTTTATATGTCCGTGCCAAATGTTAATAGCTCCTCGACATGGTTGTCGACATACAAAACATCAGTATTTAAACATGTTAACTTACCAAAGATAACAATTTTATTTGATGTGTGTGCATGTCAGCTATTATATTTATGTGTATATTAAGGCGCGTATTAAATTCGTGTAGCGGGTAATGCGACGAAATGCGCACGAGGCGGCACCTCGGAGTGCGCGGGAGGGCGCTCCCACGGGTTGCCGATATTTTTAGTCCGCGACCATTACTTGGCACCGACGGCCGCACTCGGCTGCGCTAGTAATCTTTCTGAAATCCGTTTGCTCTTAGGTACGCTCTCAATCACGAGTTGACCCAGTCTTATGTGCGCTGGCGAACTGAACGCCCCCTGAACGAACGACTCGCGAAAAGCCGAAAACATGAAACACTCGTCGCATCTTGAATTATGACATTTTTAAGATGTTATGTGATATATTTATCCTAGTTAAAGTGATAATATTTATTTTCATCGTAATAGAATAACCAAATATTATAGAAGAAATATGGCCAGCATTAGTACCAGTGGTAATAGCACAACTAGTCCGCGACGTCAGCGTTATGGCCGTTCTTCGACATCCAGTGTGACTCAGTTGTTGTCGGACGGCTATTCCAGCATCATCAATAGGTTGACGCGGCGAGGACCTTCGGAGAAAAGTGACGCCGTCACCGATTCTAAACTGACCGCCGCTCGGAATCGTTACGATGATAAATTACTAGCAAACAAAAACCCGATCCTTAACAATATTCGGCGTTACGATAACAATAGACGTATCTCACCGTACACGTCTCTTACATCTGGATTGTCCGCGTCGACGAGAAAGTTGAATGACGAACGAGCATACTCGAGTTACTTGGCCGCGACAAAGTCCAGAATCGATACATCACCTTTGCATTCAACCTCCAGTATGAGCGCTCTCAGCCGCAGTGACTCATTTCGCAAAGCGCACATGAAAGATAATCAGTCTTCACCGTTCACCAAACGATACCCTCTCAAAGAAGCGAATAATAACAATGTAGACACTACACTCATGCTTGGCAGTACTCGTAGCCGTCTAGAAGATAAATATTCCTCAGTACTAGATAAAATTGCAATACAGAAAAAAGAAAGAGCTCGCAAGGAAAAGGAAGATCGTGATAAAACTTTAGAACCCGAACCGGTCATACCACGAGGTTTGATGAGGAGCTTAACAACTGCTGTGTTTGGTGAAAATTCATTTAAAAGAAATATTTATTCACGTGAAAAAACAAGGGATAAAACACCTTTCCGGAATACGACTGACCGCCGCTTATCATCTGGGCATAAACATAGCGATAGAAACGAGTACAAAAACGGCTTTGATATTTCTGTAAGAGATCGTCCAAACTTCGGAAAAGATAGAGACAGTGTTTACCGTCGACATCAAAGGAGATCGCACAGAGCTGAAAAAAGTGATGAAGGAAAATGTGGCAAACTATCGCTTCGCCCCGTGGATATAAACATACAGCCGGGAGCTCGCGATCTAATTTCGCCTGCGCAGCAAGGTCTCAGGGACTCAAAACTACAGATTGCGAAATCTCCAGCGACATCCCTTGTTAAGGAAACGGGCAGGCAGAAGCAGATCTACTTCCCATCCAGCGACGAAGACGACGACAAAACGCCCGTTGGTGATCGCGTGCTGACAGAACGTGAAACAAGACGCAAAGAAATTCAAAGTCTGATAATGAAATACGCGCACTTGGACGAAGTATACGGTCGCATTACTGAGAAAGAAACGAATGGCTTAACAAACGTTCCTAGCATCACTCGGAAGCCAGAACCAATAGGCGTGGGCGATGTGGTAGTGTTACCGCCTGAACTTCGAGCGCGGCATCGGCCCCAAAGACCTCGCCACCTGATGCGGCGAGCGGCGACGCCGCCTGTAAGCACAAGCTAACCGCCTCCGCCTCTGTGTGCCGCTAACATTTACCTGGTCCGTGCTTTTTAGTACTCACTTTTTGAAATCATTAGATTTTTCCTTATAATTTTACTGCAGATTTTCTCAAAAAAATTAATGAAAATCTACGTCAATGTAATGTTACGATATTATATGAAATACTATAATATATAAGTATAATATTTTAAACATTATTAAGGTTATTAATTTGCAATGAATGGAATTAAATCTTTGAATGCATGCATTTTTCAATAATGTATATTAGACTTCTATTGAACAGAAGGTAGTTTTAAAAACATATGTGATAAATAAAAATGATTACGACGGTACCAAGATAAAGATGCATTACTTTTACGTACTAACAGTGTTTTGACGTTCATTGAAGGATTAGGGCAAAATCAAATCCTCTGCGATGGTAATGCATGTGATAAGTTTAATTGTGCGTGTTGTTAAGGCTAACATGCTATCTCTATTTTGTATTAAGATATTTGCGAACGCTGATCGTAAACGAAGAAGCTCGAACAGTATCACCATTTCGGGCGTTAGTATATTTGATGATAATATAGTAAGGGCTCGGGTGGACACTGATTTTAATCTCGTCGGAGTGTGCAACTTTGGGGTGATTGTGAGAGGGTGATGAGTGATTGCGTTGTGTTGATCCGTGATGAGTTGCACCGCAGGCCGGCGCGACCCGCAGCGCCCACCCGTCCGCCCTCTAACAGCATGTACGACACACTACCAATTGTCGCTTGTCTGACGGGCAACCGTTCCATTGTCTGATTGTTGGGTACAACACAACTCGGGTCCGTGGCGATCGCGTGGCGCTCTCCGTGGCATGTGGCGTATGGCGTGTGGCGTGTGGCGTTGTGGCGATGCGCGGCGCGGCGGCGGCGGCGGCGGCGGCGCGGCGCCTGCAGAGCTCCCGGGCACGCTCCTCCGTCAAGGACGACAAGGACGGACACCTGGTGTACTGGCCCGGCTATGTCATGGGAGCGAGATGTTCGTGTCCACAACATAACTTTACCATACACACGCCATCTACTATCCACCATCCAACACCACCACCACCATCACCGTCACCACACATCAACACGCGACACGCACACACTCCTATACACACACACGCAGCATACATGCAACTTCTATTTAACATTTGTAAAAGTTTTCTAACCAATCGACACTGAATTCAAAATTTACTTCACACACTAACAAATGACAGATTAATGGAAGCCTAACTTCTCAGTACATTCAAGCCCGATCCAGATCAGTGATTCGTGTTTTGTGAAGATTTCATACTTCAACTTTCTGCTTTTAGTTTTTTTATAATTTAATTTTAAAATCCTAACTTGACAGTTTAAAACTACAATTTTTAAGAAAAAGTTCATACTTATTTATACCCACTGATTTTTTAAACGGAAGATTTTTCTATTAAGTTTACAGCAAAAAAAATAGTTAATTTCTCTTTTACTTTTTGGGAACTTTTGTTTTACATTCTCAAATTATTATCTCGAGATGGAAGTGAATAATGCCTCTAGTTCCATCAGTAGTTGTTTTGCGCGCAGTTCATTAATAGTGTACTCGGTTGCTTTCAGATAAAATCATCGACACGCTTGGCGAGGGCACGTTCGGGAAGGTGGTCGAGGTGAAGGACTTGGAAATGTAAGTGGATTTTCCTTTTAACTTGTGATTTTTTTTCTTTTCTAGAAAATTATTATCTTGCCTTTTAATTTTACGGTAATAGACTATTACAAGTTTTTTTTTTTTTTATAAAACTGAAGTGAAAAAACAAACAGTTCACCTGATAGCAAGTGGCTAGTGCAGTCCATAGTCACCTGCAGCCTGCAGCCAACTTAATGACAAAGGATGCTACAGATGCGTTGTTACCCCTGAGGACTAAGATGAAATGCCTCACAGCTTGTAATTATACTAGCTACTCTTCAGTCCGGAACACTTAATTCCAAATCTTCAAATTCCTATTAACAGACAATTTAATATTTTAAAATAGTCGTCAACTGAAGACGACAGCCTTAACTTCTATGAATTAAATTTTAACATATTTATTCATATAACCTTTATCATCAATAACAATCAGTTCATAATATATCAGTATTATATAGATATATATAGATCCTGCGGAATATAATTGTCCCTTTATTCATAAAAAATATTTTTAAAAGCAGCAAAGTGAAGTTAACCTAACTTACACAGTTTGTTAAATTTAAATTATATCTCTTTGGTCATTAATATACTGAAATGGAATCTATTTCTCAGTTATGGATAATTTAGTTCATACACACACCAGTACGCGACACATTGTTTTGGCAGAGTGTACATACACTGATTATTCAAGCTCTATTTTCATTTGTTTACATTAGCACCTTCAGTAGCTATTGCTGGCGAATTCCACTCTTTATTTAAGGCTTGACTGGTATTGTATTATATTATATTCCGTCATTGTATCTAGATGATTGCAATCCGAACTATAAACTTTGTTAATTTTAATATGTTACATTGCATGAGAACTAGAGAAAACATGAGAAGTATAAAACGGTTAATTATAAGATAATTGTATCTAACGTAAACTATTTGTCAAATACAAACATAATACCTTATCTATATTACATCGTGTTGTAAATTTTCTTTTTTCTTTTTACAGGGAGCATAGAATGGCTCTGAAAATAATTAAAAATGTTGAAAAATACAGAGAGGCTGCAAAATTAGAAATTAATGTATTAGAAAAGTTGGCAGAAGTTGATCCAGACTGTAAACAGTAAGTACTGAATTTCGATATCTCACTACTTTTCTTGTTGTTTCTAGACTAGAGGTCTCGTTAACTTTTCAACCTAAGCGCCATACTGACTCTTCCACTAAGACAGGAACATACTTTTGTAGTTTCCTGATTTCGGATGTTTGTGACTGCCTATGTATTTGGGATTCCAACTAAACCTCCCGACTACTTACTTATCAATTTGATACAAAGATGTAAAAATACAAGGCACTATCACGTTATATTCTACTAACTTTATATCTTGCCATAATAGAACTGCTAAAAGCTATACCAAGCATTGTCTTAAATTCCAAAAGATCAGTGCTGTAAAGTTGGCATGACGCATTATCAACTGCTGATCATTGTACCGGCCATTATCGAGTGACGCTCGTGAATGTAGCAATATTTGACCTTGTGTGTTTATACGCGACGTTATGGCCGCCACTGGCACGACGCCAGCGAAGAACTTCATGTCAACCAAAACACAAAAATACCATCTGTGATTCGCTCGCTTCGCACTTTCTAAATAGAAAATATTTTATACCTAACGCGCAATTTTAGAAATGACCTTGATTGATATTATATTGCTTGAGATATATGATAGAAACTTACCACCCATATGTTAGGTGAAAAGATTTGGCCTCTAATTATATTCTCATAGCTAGGACGCAGCGACATTTCCTGTTACTGTGTCTTATATTTGTATTATTCTTTTGCAGTTTGTGTGTAAAAATGTTGGACTGGTTTGAATATCATGGTCACATGTGCATCGCATTTGAAATGCTCGGACAAAGCGTATTTGATTTTCTGGTAAGTTTGGTTTTCTTTAAACAATTTTTCTTTTATTCTTTTGGCATATATGTACTTTGGCTATGCTTTAGAAAATCCTAAACTTAAAACTGAACAGATACATTTGCTGTATGGTCAAATTTATTAGTTATTATATTATATTAGTTATCTTTTTTTTTTTAATTAACATGAATTTTATTACAATTTATAACTACAACAAAGTCATGATTAAAGAATAATTCTAAAATTAGGTTGTTTTTGAATAAAATCGACTTATAACTTACTAATAATAAATGGAAATAGTAATTTAAGTAAAAGTTATCTAATACAACAAACAGGTCGTATGTATTTAGCTTAGAATGTTAGTGGCATAAAGCTAATAAATTCCATTACTTACAATTTCTTTTTATGTTCACAGAAAGACAACAACTACCAGCCATACCCATTGGAGCAAGTGCGGCACATCTCCTACCAGTTGATATATAGTGTGCTGTTCCTGCATGAGAACAAACTTACCCACACAGATCTCAAGCCGGAGAACATATTGTTTGTAGATAGTGATTACGAGGTGGTCAGTGTATATAATAGTTCTAAGAAGGTAACAAATTTTTTATTACTTTTTTCTATCTAAAATTTAGGCATTTTAGATTTTGTATCTGTTATTAATTTTTATTTAATTTTGCCCTTGCATTTTTGAGTCTAGTCATTAAAAGATATTTTATTCATAATTCTAAATATTTGTTTCTTAATTAGTAAGACTATCATAATCTTCTTTTTTTATTTTGAGTTGCATTGTTTGTGTGGTGTTTATCAAAATAAAAAAAAATATATTGTTTGTACTTTTAGCTTGTCACTGATAATACAGATTAATATAATTTTGGCAAATGCAGTAGCTGACAGAATTAAAAAGTTGCATCCGAGATGAGAAACTTTTAAAAGTTTGTTGGAATACAAATAACTTTTCTGTTCCGTCTGATAATTTATTAAATTATTGTTATAATGATAATTAAGTTCTTAACTATCTTGGAAATCGAATGTTTTACTAATTAAAAATAAATTATATATACTTATAACTTGTATATATTATCATTATACACTAGGCAGAACGGTACATTCACTGCAGTCGTAGCATACTCCTGGTTCTGGCAGCAGAGTATTCTCTATTGTGTTCCATTTTGAAAGTTAGATCCAATATAGGTGGAGGCAATCAGACATTCCGTCTTTGTCTTCAAGGGCGGCAATGAATCTGTATTCTTCTTTATTTGAAATAGGCCACCACTTTGTATCACGTGGTCTGGTTAACTCTCATGGCAGTCATGTGTTTTTATCCGTAAGGTATAAAAAATACTTAGATTATTAGTTTTGACATTAACCAATGAGTAATTCGTTCGTGATCGCAGACACATGATTTGCTGCGCGTGAAACGCAGCGATGTGAGGCTCATCGACTTCGGCAGCGCCACGTTCGACCATGAGCACCACAGCACCATCGTTTCCACCAGGCATTACCGAGCGCCTGAAGTCATATTGGGTCAGTATCAATTCATTATTACTATTCACGTAGTATGCTACCGTCATCATCATCATCATCATCATGACAGCCTATTAAAGTCAACTGATAAACATAGTAGGCCTCCCCCATAGATTGTCCCCATAAGGGTAATATTCGTCTTAGTTGCCATGCTTGGCAGGTGGATTGGCAATCACAGATTTTTTTATTTTGAGTTGTTTGATTTGTGCTGTTTGATTTGCGTCTGCCGCCTTTACACGGGATGGTATTTGGTCCTCTTACACCGCCATTATATTAATAAATATATTATATTATTATTTAAAAAAAGTAACAAATAGTATTAAATTTGCCTCAACTATTTAAATAATGCCAGTAAAATATCAAAAAATGGCTCAAAAATGTAACATTATATTTTTTTCAAATTTAAAATATCACTTTTTATTGTCATTACATCATATTTTTATATAAGTTTAAAACTCATTGTATAATCAAAACAATTTACAGACACAATACAATATATATGTATATGGTATCGTTTTACAGAACTGGGTTGGTCACAGCCATGTGACGTATGGTCCATTGGCTGCATCATGTTCGAGTTGCATCTCGGCATCACGCTGTTCCAGACACACGACAACCGCGAGCACCTCGCCATGATGGAGAGGATCCTTGGTCCCATTCCATACAGGTATTTTTATCAATTTTCTCTTATTTCGTCAATGGTATTATAAATGTATTGAATTTCGCAAAAGAATTTTCTTTGTCATTTCGACAGAATATCAAAGCTGCGGTAACTCTGTTACCGTGGCATTATGCTGAATCGCGGTAGCCTTTTTATTACTGCTATCAAGCGTGAACTTGGTTTTTGTTCAAAGCTATTATTTTGTTCGTAAGGTTTTTTTAACAATAAACATATTCTCGACGGATCCGTGGCGCAGTGGCTTAGCAATCAGTTATTGCGCTGGGGGCCGCGGGTTCGAATCCCGCACGGAACAAGTATTTGTATGGCCTACAAATAATTGTTCCGGGACTGGATGTTTGTCCTTGTGCAATTTATGTTTGTAAACTACCCCCACGACACAGGAGAAAATCCTAGTGTGGGGGTAACGTTTTTTAAGAAATAAACAAAAAAAAATTCTGCTCTTTTTTTAAAAAAAAAAACATCTGAACTATTTAAAGTGTGTATTGAAATTAATATTCATTATTCAGTATTATCATTGTCTCAAATGAATTTGACATTGACTTATTAGTGTCTTTTATTGACTTCGTTTATCGGAGAAGGCTTGGTAAAATATCGATATTTTCCCATAAAAATATCGATGTATGATGTCGATATTTTTATATATATCTAAATTGATACGTCATACATCGATATTTTTAATCACATAATATTGATATTCGATATTTATTTTAAAGTGTCGAATTCGTATCAATTTAGATATATTTTAAAATATAGTATTTAGGGGACCACAGGAGCTAAACACAAGTTTTATAATGCCTTAAAGTATATGATCTATTGCAGTAAATTAAATCAGAAAAATATATGATATTTTTCAGAATATATTATGCTAGTTAGGTAGTGTATTGGAAACATGATACTACTAATTAGATACGATAGAAAAAAAAAGCAAAGATATATAAAAAATTATTTTAACGATTAAAAACCATATTAATATACATGCATTCATTGAGATATATGTACTACGTACTAGAGAAGCCATTCCAAACAAAAATTGTGTCCTACTCTATGTCTTCGCGCATGCGCAGGAGTAGTAGTCGCGCATGCGCGAAGACTTTAATTTAATATAAAATAAATATAAGAATTTAATATAAAATATCTTAATTTAATCGAAACAAACATATTTCTAAATAAAATGTAATAATAATTATTTTATGGAATCCACAAATCTTCAATTTACGCAATATTTAGTTTGTATGGATTGCACTACAGTTCAGTTGAACATAGTCAATGTTCGGAATGGCTTCTCTAGTACGTAGTACATATAACTCAATGCATGCATTCAGATTTTCGTAAGATTATTCTACAAACAACATATTAACGTAATAGTGTTTTAATTTTTTAGTCGAATCAATAGATTTTTTTAATCGCATATTTATTTTTCTGAACATAATACGTACGCATGTGTGCGTAAGCGCCTGTGTACCAACAGTGCCGGCCGAGGCATTTTTCTATACAAAATTGTGTAAATGGGTGCGTGCGTCTTTCGAGGTCACTTAGCTCTTGTAGTCCCCTTAATCGACAAAACATTAAGCAACAAAAGCATTCATGGGCTGTTGTAGTTTTTTTTTTCAGTCGTCCAATCGTTAGTAATAGAATTTTAGGCCTTTTACGCGATGTAATATATACTGTTTGAAAATATCAATACGATATTATATCGACTTATTTTATTGCCTTGTCCATCCCTATATTAAAAGATCGAAACTTACTATCATGTATAATTTTCACAGGATGGCAAGAAAGACAAGAACAAAATACTTCTACCACGGCAAATTAGACTGGGACGAAAAATCGTCGGCTGGCAGATATGTTAGAGAAAATTGCAAACCACTATTGGTGAGTAGCAATAAGTGCTCTTACATGTTGTGTTACATGTCTATTAAGAGGATTGTGAACCTGTAAATTTTCATACAATAAACGATAAAGTCGAAGCGTAACAAGCAATTAATTTGTCTTCAAGACTTGTAACTCTCTATCCCACGATACGGCGATACGGAGCGAGCGGTATGAAACAGATAGCATTTTTGAATATACCTACCGCGTATCGGCACTTTACAATCCTCTTAAAGTCCACTGCTAATCACTTTAGACTGTCTTATAGAGATGAACGCACATTTGTCCGCACCCTACGCATCGTACGAGTCGTGTTTCACTGATGGCCTCGCACATTTGCACTTAATATCATCTTCGCGAAGTACCCGAAAGTTACACGAAGCGTCTCACTACACTACTCGGCTTACGCCAGTCGTGTAGTGAGTAGTAATTAATTATCATCATTACAGCCCTTCATAAGTCCACTGCTGAACATAGGCCTCCCCCAAGGAATGCCACAAAGCACGGTCCTGAGCCACCTGCATCCATCGACTTCCTGCATGTCTTACCAGGTCGTCACTCCATCTAGTGGGGGGGTTACCCTACACTTCGTCTACCGGTACGAGGCTGCCACTCGAGAACCTTTCTTCTCCATCGGTTGTCGGTTCTTCGAGCTATATGGCCGGCCCACTGCCACTTCAGCTTAGTAATCCGTTGGGCTATGTCGATTACTCTGGTTCTACTGCGGATATCCTCATTTCTACGTTTATCACGCAGAGAAACCCCGAGCATAGCTATGGAGAGCCATAGCTCGCTGAGCGACCTTGAGCTTCCTCATACGGCCAGCAATGAAGGACCACGTCTCAAATCTGTAAGTAGTAATCACTGGCAACACGCACTGGTTGTACAACTTCGTTTTCAGGTTTTGAGGTATACCTAACGAGATGATGTGTCGTAGTTTCCCGAACGCTGCCCAGCCGAGTTGAATCCGTCGATTGACCTCTCGGTCGAAGTTGGACTTACCTAGTCGGACTATTTGTCCCAGGTAAACATACTCGTCAACAACTTCGAGCTTAGTGCTCCCAACAACTACCGGCATAGGTGGGACATGGTCATTAAACATGATCTTTGTTTTGTCCATGTTCATCTTAAGACCTATCCGTTGGGAGACACTATTGAGGTCATTGAGCATAGTGATTAGGTCCTCCAGCGATTCTGCCATAAGGACTATATCGTCAGTAAATCGAAGGTGAGTGATGTACTCGCCATTGATGTTAATACCGCATCCTTTCCAGTCCAGTAGCTTAAAAACGTCTTCCAATGCAGTAGTGAAGATTTTCGAGGAATTAGCGTCACCCTGTCTTACACCTCTCTGCAGTTGGATAGGTTTCGTACTCTGATTCTGTACTCTGCTATCGTACCCCTACTGTATAAACACAGTCAACTTAACACCGCTGAAGGTACGCAGCACCCCCCAAATTTCGACGGAATCAAAGACTTTCTCATAGTCCACATACGCAAGGCAAAGTGGCAGATTATACTCTTCTGTCTTCTGACAATTTGCCAAAGGGTGTGTATGTGGTCTATGGTACTAAAGCCTTCTCGGAACCCGGCTTGTTCGGGAGGCTGGAAATCGTAAATTCTGCGTGCGAAACGATTCGTAATGGCTCTCGAAAACATCACGTAGACGCGGCTCAGAAGGGAAATCGGTCTGTAGTTCTTCAAGAGAGCGTTGTCTGTTCTGTTTCTTGAAGAATAAGACCACCGCACTTCTGCTCCACGCCTGCGGAGTAGTGCCACCATGGAGGACGGAATTAAAGAGCTTCTGAAGGACAACAAGTACCGGTTTTCCACCCGCTTTCAAAAGCTCCGCTGTAATTCCATCCTCGCCCAGGAACTTGCCGTTTTTAAGGTGCTGGAGAGCCATTCTAATCTCGCTCAGACTGACGTCCGGGATATCTTCGGAATAGTGTCGGATAAGCCTCGCTCTTGGATCGTTACTCACACTTGCGTGTGGCTCCAATGATGACGTGTACAACTGCCCATAGAACCTCTCAATCTCACTCAAAATCTCAGGTGTCCCGGAAACGATGCTGCCACACTCTGTCTTCAGCCATGACAGTTGGCTCTTTCTGGCAGACAGATCTCAGGCAAAGACTGGAGCTTTGGTTCCGCTCGATCGCTTCTTCAATACAAGCTGTGTCAAGTCCCGCCGCATGCATTTGGAAATTTGTCTGTTTAGTTGCCTGTATGCTGTCAAATCTGTTGAAGAATGTAGCTTCATCTCCCGTCTAACAACCATGAGATTAAGAGTGTGATCGGAGAGTTTTTGTGTTTTTCTGCGGCGGGTCTTGCAGAATTTAGTTCCGACCGCATAGAAAGTTTCCACGAGCTTGTCATTCATATCGTCTACTTCATTGCAGTCTTCCAGGCACTGAAAACGGTATTGTCATTCGAGCTGAAAGGTTACGGGACTTTGGAACAGAGCACGAGGGGGACGGAGCGTTGACTTCATTAGACGAGACCTCTTTAATTAACTTTAAGGTTCAGTGTGCCTCTAACCATTCGGTGATCGCTACCAGTTCTCACCCTCGCGATCACGGAGACATCACTGAACAGTTGTCGGTTGGTCGTTAATTTATAATTCTGGTCGGCAATTTATACCGGACACATATGTTACGGAGTGGACTTTTGATAGGTTGGAGCGAATGGATGATGAATGAATAACAAAAGCGTTACAGAGTGCACGTGAATAAATAAGGTTGTCGTGTTATTGCTGCAGAGGTACATGCAGAGCAACAGCGAGGAGCACCGGCAGCTGTTCGAGCTGATCGCGCGCATGCTGGAGTACGAGCCCTCGCAGCGCATCACGCTGCGCGACGCGCTCGCGCACCCCTTCTTCAGCAAGCTGCCGCCGCACCACAGGCTCGGTACGTGCACGCACACGTGACGGCACCGTAGCGCAGTGGAATAGCGATTGGTCGCGACGCTGCAGGACCGCGGGTTCGAATCCCGCACGAACCGTTTGTATGGCCTACAAATAATACACGCACACGTACCAGACACACACATGTTGTGATTCCTATCTGAGAAGGCACGACACCCACGCACGCATACGCGAAAATGCCCATAATTTTCTAAAAGACGAATAATTAAGGATAAAAGAATGACAGAATCTCCTCGACAGAACAAATCTCTATATAATTCAAATATTTAAGTATTACATTTTTACAATTTTGCTTATGAACTCTCCTGGCAGTCTCGAGTCTCGACTTATGCATTAACCGTGACTTTTATATCTATTTAGTCAGCAAAGTGAATACATTGCTATGAGAAACCAACATCCGCCATTCAGTACAGTACCTTTATTACTAACCTTTGAAGTTACATGTATATGCGACACACACCCTCAAGCAGTGACATTAAAAACGATAGTAATAGTAGTGATACTGTGGTAGTTTACTACCACAGTATCACTACTATTACTATCGTTTTTAGACTTTAGTCTAATAAAGTAATATAAGTAAGTAAAAGTAAATAAAGGTTGAGAATTTTCAAGTTAATTATATTTTAGTGCAACGAACACAGCAGTATTTTACAAATGCACGCAAAATTGTATCAATGTAGACATTGAGTGGGTCATGCCTTTGTGGAATAAGTTGTCCATATAATATACATAATCAACAATCTTCTATTTGACTTTACACATACAATTCAACTATATGTATAATACAGGTACGGATATGTTTTGTTTTACTCCTTATAAATATTGTTGTTATAATATTAAGTAAATTCTTCGGTTTAGAGAACGCTTAGTTAGGGTGTAATAGATAAATAGGAATTCTGTTTCGGTTTATTTAAGTTCTTAGGTTAAGCAACATATTGTTTGTTAACACAAATAATTATTACCCTTACACTTGCTACTGTAAATTAATAACGCTACTATGATTTGATATTCTTCTGATCGTATTTGATCATTATTATTTTTATTCTTCTTTTAATTTTAGTGCAGTTTTCTAAAGGCAATTTTTAGGATTCGAAAAATAAATAAATGATAATTTATTGCTTTGTCATTCTTTATCTATTGAATAGTCTAGCTCTTGTTGTAGAATTTTCTTTTATTCTCTATTCGGCGCTATTTCTGACTTTATGTCTTTTTTAACACATAAAAAGTTCATAATAAATAAAAGAAATAACATGAAAAAGGAATACTTTGTTAAAAACTCATTTTATATTGACAGTTGCATAGTCATATGATGTAAAATTGTTTGTTATAGGACACCAGTTTACAAGGCCGTCGTTCCTTAGGTCAGGCATTTTTGTCTTTGTTTATGGCTTTACTCGAGAGCTTTGTTTTCGTTTTGATTTTACTCAGAACACATATTGAGACATGAACACACGTTATGAAGTATATTTTTTCTCCGTGTGCTCATAATTTTGCTTACAGAAATTGTTATTTGTTTATAATTTTTCTGTTTTATCTTTAACATTACCTTTGTTTGAAACACGTGACGTTTTAAAGGACACCAGTTTACAAGGCCGTCGTTTCTTAGGTCAGGCATTTTTGTCTTTGTTTATTGCTTTACTGGAGAGCTTTGTTTTCGTTTTGATTTTACTCAGAACACATATTGAGACATGAACACACGTTATGAAGTATATTTTTTGTCCGTGTGCTCATAATTTTGCTTATAGAAATTGTTGTTTGTTTATAATTTTTCTGTTTTACCTTTAACATTACCTTTGTTTGAAACACGTGACGTTTTAAAGTATCTCGTATAAAATGTTTAATATTTTTTCATCGTTCATAAAAGTTAAATATATGAAAAGAAAACATGCTTAATTAGCATGATTCGGCTAAATTTTTCTTTATTGAATGAACATTGCTTGTTTCGTAATTTTTGTTTTGTGATACAGACTGACCGATTGTTAACTAACGATTTTTATATAGAAAAAAATAGCGATATTTTATATTTTGTTTAGTTAACATGTATTTGTGATAATGTCACTTGCTTAGTTTTCATTTTTAATTGAAATACATTGAAGTATCAGAATGCAGATGCCTTGTTACTAGATGGAATACTCATAAACATAACCCTTCCTTGGCAGTCTGGTAAAAGGGTAAACGGTTCTTGTCATGTATCGTACAAAACACACCTTAACATTTAACTAATATTATATGAGAATATAATATTAGTTCTACCACGGTTATGACAACCCATTTGAACTATAGCTTCATAGTAAATACGAGGTGTGATCAAAAAGTAAGGTGACTTTTTATTTTTATCTAAAAATATATTTATTAATTCATCAATATTTATTTTGTCCCATTCAAAGTATAGTTTTGGTATAGCCTTCAGCTCATCTAGCGATGCGGTCTTTATATCCTCAATCGTTGCAAAACGGCGTCCTTTCATGGATTTGAGTTTCGGGAACAGGAAAAAGTCACAGGGGGCTAAATCCGGTGAATACGGTGGCTATGGCATGTTTATGGTGTTGTTCTTGGCCAAGAAAAAAAGATCTTCAGCGATATTCATGCGACAGTTCTTTTGGTCAAAATTTTGCAATTTGGAAACAAACTTCGCTGACACACGTCTAATGCCCAAAACCTTCTTTAACCCTTTCGCTGTCCCGTGCACTATATATAGGTCATTGCTATTGTCTTACTATTGTGTCTGAAAACCGGACAGTGAAAGTGTTAAATTGAAAGAGGGTAGATGTAGATTAGATATCTATGGGCCACAGCAATCACCATCAGGTGGACTGTGTGCTCGTTTGTCACCCTATCCTATAAAAAAAAAAACGTATGTAACATACGAAAATGCTTGGCAATAATTTAAATATAATTTGGAAAATCAAAAAGTTCCACGCACGCATCATGAGCGTTTCATTTAATTTTGATGAAATTGTATTCCCGACTTTTAAAAACAAAGTGTCACTTACAGGGAAAAAATTAATAATGTTTACCAAAATAAATCGATTACATATACAAAGTATTAAATCTATATAGGCTGTATGGTACATTTGTCCTTTGTTTATCAAGGGGTAAAAGTATATGAAAGCTCCTTTAAAATTTTAATAGCAATAAAACGTATAAAAGTTGAAAATCATTTTATTAAAAACAAAGCTATTAATTTGAAATAGGAAACGAGGGGATGTAATTCTGAAGCTAATAAAAAATCCGGTGTCTATACATATTTTTTTTTTGGAGTTATTGTGACCATATATAAACAAAATTAGCCTACGGTCGTCTACGTAAAATGTTTTTCAAACCGTTAAGTAGCAATATAATTTTTTTTTTTAGAGAATATAATATGGATTAATTAGTTTTTTTATTATATACGTCTACTCATATTATCATATTAGTGCAATGTGTTTATGATAGAGGCATTTTAAGAACTCAAAATTGCTTGATCTTGACAATAACGCTTCGCGTTATGAGGCGTGAAATAATCTCGTTAAGTTGTTTAATTAGCAAAGGTGAATGTTTTCAATGTTTTGTCGTGGTATTTTATTTTACAACTTAAAGCCTGCGCTGACGACAATGTCCGCGGCGTGTGGATGGCGAGACATTCACATGACTCATCGTTATGAGATGACTTCGTGTTTCGTATGACATTCTCATTCATTTTTATAGTTTTCTATTAGCGTTAAGGCGAGGATTTCCTGCGTTAAAAGGAATCTACTACATATTAATATTTCAAATAGTATCAATTCTTGCTTTTTACAAGTTGTATCTAAAGTCATATTGTACTTTAATGAACTTTTTGTCCAAGCTGGCTTTAACAATTGTAGAATGTGAAGTTGTTTAGCCCCATAGATCCTTTACTGTCTACGCTGAACCTTAATGTGCCGTATATATGTATTGTTATATTTAAGATATGTGAGGTGCATAATGGTGATGAGATCGTTTGTGTGACGCAGGCAGTGACCGCGCGCGGTGCAACGGCGAGAGCTCGCGCGAGCGCTCGCACTCGCTGAGCAGGTGAGTGCGCGCCGCCGCCCGCAGTGCAGTGATGTATAGTAATGGACACTTAATCTAGGGAATATTTTGTTGTGAATCGCTACTTCTCAATTTGTATTTATAAATAATTACTATTATTCGAAATAAAGACTGTGACGGTCTCAAATCCTTCCTCCTTTTATTTAATTCACCCAGTGTTATTTAAATCGATCAGTGAACGCAAATAAAACATTGAAGCAATCTTAACTTCAAAAAATCATCCAACCTTTATTCGGTATGTAAACTTTTTTAATTTATTCATAATAAAACTTGTATAGTTTACACCAATTTTAATTATTTTTGTTTTCCAAGCAGTAGTTAAGTTTTAATAGTTTTAGAACTTTTATATGTCAAGCATAAAAAATAAACTATATAATACATACATTTTATTATTAATTATTCTCTGAGGTAATTTTATCGAATTAATGTAAAATTATCTATGAAAATAACATATTTATTTATATAATTAATAGAACAGTTTAAAAAGAGTATAAACGACAGGGGCCTTATGGGGACAGTGACCGTGTGTCAGCACAATTCACTAACTCTACTGTACAATAAATACTTGCGGTTGACGCGAGCGTGTTTTAAAGTACTTTTTTAATTAATTTTAAATGCCGTTTAATACATAATTAAATTTAACAATCGAAAACTGAAAACATCTATAAAAAAAGTGTCACGAAAATATTTGGCAGTGCATAGGGTTACACTGCCAAATATTTTCGTGACACTTTTTTTTAAATGTATTTTTTCATATAGTAATTAATAAAAATGATCTTGTTTAACAAATGTTTTATAAGTAAATGTGTAAATAATGTTAATAAATGATAATGAGTATAATAATATCCAAAATTATTTTATCCCCAATTTCGTGACGACCCCTAGAACATATTTGCACAGGACGGCGTAAGTGGTAAATATGAACCAACAAAGACATTGGCTAACATCAAAGGTGTTTCCAAACTGTATACTCTCTTAAACTGTTCTACGAGTAAGAGAAACGGTTTAGATTAAATAATTGTATATAAAATGTTTGTATAAGCTACAAAAATGTCTTAGCGTAATCTTGAATTCACAATTTAAAAAAATCCCGGAGTTGGCTGGTAGAAAATGCCACAGGCGTGAAGTCCGCTCATCGTACCTAAATCTTATTTGAAGATGGCATACGATAAAGTTTAATAAAAACTTATACATATCATGTTAGACGTTGAACTTCACTAAAGCGATTGAAAGCCATTGGGCGACCATTACAAAATGCACCGTAATTTGTTCGTAATGTTACGTCTAGTCGCTTTAATAGACGCACCACGCAGATGTAAAACAATGTTACTACGAACAAACTAGCAAGTTATATATATCTTTTCAAAATGAGTGTTCTATTTACATCAATACATCGCTGTATCCGATGGAACCACTGAGAAAAGCACTTTGCCCACTCGTCCTTAAGGGTCTCTTCGACGGCATTTTAAAACGCAGCCACTGCTTCCTCGGCGCCCATAAAACGTTTTCCTCGAAGTTTTTCTTTTATTTTCGGAAGTAAATAAAAATTGCAAGGTGGAGGTCGGGGCTATAGGGCGGATGACCCAGTAATTCCACGTCTGACGTCGCCAAGTAGACGAGGCGTTGTCGTGGTGAAGGAGGATCCAACTGCGAGGTCGTTTCTCCCAAACTTTTTCCAAGATAAGTGGCAAACAATTGTAATTAATAGAATCAGGCGTTACTTTGCGGAAATCCTCTATAATGGGGTTTGTTATAAATTAATTTGCTTAAATTCGTGTAAAGAAAGAAAATGAATGCCCTTAAAACTGGGCAGGACACATCATTTTCTTTCTTTACGTGGAATTAAGCAAATTAATTTATAAAAACCCCATGGCAAACAATTGTTAGTGTACCACTCTGCAGTAACTGTTTTTCAGATCCTCTAAAACAATTGTGGCGAAATGACCTGTCCTTCCGAAGAACGAGGCCACCATCTTTTTTCCTACGCTTCCACCTATCTTCACTTTAGTTGGCAACTCCTCGGAAGTAATTTTTTACATGGTAGAGCCATGCTGCAGCTATATTAATAGTATATTTGTAGCACGAATGGGTCTGCTCTGCCGGGGAAGGACCACGCTCTCACAGAATACCAGCATAAAATAGCAGCTTAATGCTGCTGTGTTTCGTATGGTGAGTGTAGAGAACCGGAGACCCGTTTTACTGGAAAAGATGCATTCTATCTTAGCCTTCACGGCGGACAACGCATCTGCATTTTAATTCGCAAACGAAGATAGATGTAGATGTCTATGGGCCACAGCAACCACTTCCATCAGATGGACTGTGTGCTCGTTTGTCACCCTTATTCTATAAAAAAAAAGGAAATACCCAGACAGCAGATTGTCTCTTAGTTTTATGATCATAACAATAAATCCAGCTTTCGTCACCCGTAAGTATGTCAAACACAGCATTTGTGTCACCTCCGTTACATCTTTGAACCATTTCACGACACCAATCAACACGACGGAATTTTTGGGCCTCTGTCAAATTATGAGGTATCCACGGGGCACTAAGCTTCCTGACCGCTAAATGTTCATGGAGGATTTTGTGCACTTGACTCATACTGATGCCTAAGCTCGCCCGAATCTGCTGATAAGTCACTCTTTCTCATCTTCAGTCGTCGCCGTAGAGCCTTCCCTCGTCGCCGTCTCTCACGCAGATCATCGGTGAGATTAGTGCGACCACGTTTAAACTCATTAAACCAATTGTAAATAGTGGCACGAGATGGGGCTTCATCGTGAAAGGCCAATCGAAGTCTATCATAACTTTCTTGTTTGCTTAAATGACATCGAAAGTCATAAATAATCATTGTACGAAAATTTTGTCGCGTTAAATTCATGTTAACACAGACAATTTTCAATTTACCGACAAATGACAAATTAACCTCTCAGACCTTGACATTTTATTGGACATATTTAGTTAGAACCACAGAGTACTTTTTTATATAGGAAACTCCTAGCGGAGTTGGCGGAGTTTTGCACTTTGCAGTCGTTCGTTTCTTGCTCTCGCTGCGTAATACGTATTGTACTCGATTGTACTGTGCTATTTTGGATTTTCTGATAACCTTACAACTTTGGCATGTGTTATACGGATACCGGTTTAGTACTTTTTGATTAGGATCTAAGACGTTATCGCTCTTGTTGGAAAGAGTTATGGAGCCGTCTACGAGATTGCTGTATACAAACTGCAACATATGTGTAAAATACGCTTCAGCGTTATCGGACCTTTCAGCTTGATAGCAGAGTCATCTCGCTAATTAGCACTTGGATATCTCCAGTAATAGTAAGTATTATAAAGTACCTAACGATTTAGTATCCAGTTAACAGACGTATATGTAAAAATCTACCTTTTTTATACGTGATGGAGCCATGCTGCAGCTAGATTAGTAGTATAGTTGTAGCACGAGTTGTTCGATTTGACTGGGGAAGGAATTTTAGGCCGGCTCGAACCGGGGTGGTACCACGACCTCACAGAATACCAGCGTGAAGTAGAGGTTTACCTCTGCGTTTCGTTTGGTGAGTGCTGGTGGCCGGAGGCCCTTTTTACTGGAAATGAGGCATTCCATCTTAGTCCTCACGGGTGACAACGCATCTGCATTTTGATTCGCAAACGAGGATAGATGTAGATGTCTATGGGCTGCAGCAACCACTTACCATCATGTGGACTGTGTGCTCGAGTGTCACCCTTATCCTATAAAAAGAAAACCACGCCCGCACAGAATACCAGCATAAAATAGCAGCTTAACACGGTTCTGTTTTGTATGGTGAGTGTACAGAACTGGAGATCCTTTTTACTGGAAAAGAGGCATTCCATTTTAGTCCTCACGGTTGACAATGCATCTGCATTTTGTTTCTTTATTGAAGATAGATGTAGATGTCTATGGGCCACCTCAACCACTTACCATCATGTGGACTGTGTGCTCATTTGTTACCCTATACTATAAAAAAAATCTATCCACCTATCCAGTCAACAGACAAATAGATGATTATTTTATAAAAAGGATTAATATTCACAGAAGTGTGTTATATTTTTTCAAATTAAATCAAAGTGTGTCGAGGCACATCACACTCCAAGAGTAGGTTGGCCAGTATTTTGACATCAGACTTTAGGAGTGGAATAAACTGACAGGTGGTAGAAATAGATGAATGTGTTAGTGATTTTCCCCATTTTTAGCTAGTGTTCTTTTAGATAGCTGTCTAAATAAAAACATGTAAAAATATAAATTAAATATATTTATTTCTATTTTACGCTTTAAAATCTCATAATTGATTTGTTTTTCAGATAACTGAAGAAGATTACATTTGTAAAGCGTGCTTTAATGTATCCATGCTGACTATTAATGCTCAGATTTATGGAAAAAATTTGTGTGATCCATCTGCTTTCATCTTGCCGTGGTCATACTCAATGGACGAGAAGGCATTGTAGAGTATTGCTGCAACTGCATTATAGGCCGTCGCATTGTAGGTTGTTGTGCGCTTGTTATGACGTTAGTGTGGTATTTAGGTTGATCGGGCATGAAATCAACATTGTGCCTCCAGCGGCATTTTTAGATGAAGTGGTTGTACGAGAAAACATTGAATAAATAATAATAAATCAAATCCTGTTTTTTATTTAATTTCCCTGTCCTTCCCAAGAAACATGTAGGTAGGTAGTTCTTTTCGTCATCTATTTATGTCGTTATGGCCCAGAAGTTACACCTCTGTGAGTTCAAATCCGGGCAACTACCAATGTGTGTTTTTCAATGCGTAGGTATAATCAATAAAAGTCGGAAATTGCCAACCCATCTTGACAAAGCATGGTGATTAATACTCCTGCCATCTGCTATATGACAAGAGGCCTTTGCATAGCAGTGGGGTAGTGTTATATTATATATATTATATTAGTTACTCGTTGTCTGTTTATCAGACCTAGAGTTCGATGGTTAAAAGCGTCAACTGTCAAGCCGACTCCTGGAGTGTAGTCCATATGTACGAGATTTTAACCGATAATTTAATGATTATACGATTTGATGATGATATTTCATTGAAGAGTCGGTTGTACAAAGGTTTTAATTTCATTAGTTGTCTCTCTTCCTCTCTTTTAAAAAAAACGTTACTTCCACACTAGGATTTTCTTCTGTATCGCAGGGACAGTTTATATACATAGAACAGACCCAGAACAATTATTTGTAGGTCATACAAATACGTGTTACGTTCGGGATTCGAACCCGCGGCTCTTAGCGCTGCAACTCATTACTAAGCCACTGCGCCACGCAGCCGTCACTTGTTTGTTTCACATTTTTTTCTATTTACTACTATTGAGATAATATTTTTCGTTTCATTAACTAGTTTTTGCAAAGTAATTGCGAGCAATAAGCCTAGGATGGCTAACGCATCGTCGTCCGTCACTAGTAACGTCATGGTTTTAACTGATGCGGCATCATGCAAACTTGACGGCGAACTTGAACGTGTGTGGCCTATATGGATGCACTGCAAACTTGACGCCGCTTCAAGCGCGCTGCAAACTTGACGGTAAACTTGATCGTGTATGGCATCCATTAGGTTAACTTTATTTTGCGTCACTTGTATCTTTCTTTTTTTTAAAGCGTTTTCGCCATAAAAGTATTTCTATACATAAATTGCATAAGGACAAATATCCAGAGACACGAAACAATTATTTGTAGACTTTCAAAATACTTGTTCCGTGCGGCATTCGAAGCCGCGGCCCTAAGAGGCGCAAATTAATGGTAAGTCATTACGCCACGGAACCGTCATTTATCTAATTTTACTCGGAAGATTGGGGACTTGAGTTATTTGTTATTCTATCACAAATTCTTCAGAGAGTAGTATTAATACCTAAAACGTAGTGATTAAATATATACTCTTTGTTAATACCAGACTCGAGTACAGGCGAAAAGTTATATATAGGAAACAACATTTCGGGGTATCCGCAGAAATTGCATGACTTAACTCGTCTCCGTCATCCGACATTCCATCATCGGACCACCAAACGGTTTGCTTCATCATTCATAACACGTACAGCAAAAGAGTGGAGTATGGGCCGGCTCGAGCCGGGTTGGTACCACGACCTCACAGAATACCGGCGTGAAGTAGAGGCTCTGCTTCTGCGTTTCGTCTGGTGAGTGCAGGTGGCCGGAGGCCCAATTCCCCCCCCCCCCCCCCCCATCAACATGGTAGCGGAATTAGACAATAGACTACCCCAGGAGGGTACCAGTACCCCTGGAGAATCCCTCGCTGAGCATCCACGACCATGTTATTCCAATCCTGAGCGTGGGTGCTCAGGCTGCCCCGCGTATTCTGGGGGGGGGGGGGGGGGGGGGTAAAATTCCGCTCAAAAACAAAACTGCTCGGGGCAAACTGAGCAACAATACCAAGGCGACCCCTGCCACGCTATCCGTTAATTTCTGCAACATCAGGGGACTTCACTCTAACCTAAACGCCGTCCACTACCATCTCGAGACGGCGAAGCCGGCCTTGCTCTTTCTGACCGAGACGCAGGTTTCCTCTCCGGCTGATATTTCGTATCTCTCCTACCCGGGGTACAAATTGGAGCACTCCTTTGTGCCTCGGGCTGGGGTTTGCGTGTATGTCAGAGAGGACATCTGTTCTCGACGCCTCGGCAGTCTTGAAGGTTCGGACCTGTCCATCCTTTGGCTACGCGTAGACAAAGACGACCATCCGCGCGTCTACGGGTGCCTCTATAGGTCCCATAGCGGTAATGCCGAAACAGACCGACTCATCGACCACGTCCAAATGGCTACAGATTCCTTGCTACAACAGGTCCCATCCGCAGAGATTGTGATCCTTGGCGATTTTAACGCCCACCATGCCGAATGGCTCAGTTCACGTTTAACCGATCATGCGGGGAGATCTGTTTATGACTTTGCCTTGGCATATGGTCTGACACAACTGGTTACTTCGTTTACGCGGATTCCAGATGTGGAGGATCATACACCTTCCCTGTTGGACCTTCTGCTGACCTCTCATCCGGACGGATATCAGGTTTCCGTCGATGCCCCTCTCAGCCCTTCGGACCGTTGTCTGATCCGGAGTATGGTGCCACTCACGCTCCCTTCGCGGTTGCGTTCTGCAGGTTGCCGCCGTGTTTGGCATTACAGGTCGGCGGATTGGGACGGAATGCGGTCTTTCTTTGCATCCTACCCATGGGGGCGGGTTTGCTTCTCGCCGGATGATCCCAGCGCTGTTGCTGACTCTGTCACTGATGTGGTGCTACAGGGAATGGAACTATTTATTCCATCATCTGTTGTACCCATCGGAGGCAGATCTCAGCCTTGGTTTGGTCGCTCCTGTAAGACTGCATTGCGCAGTAAGCAGGAGTGTTATCAAGCCTGGGCTGCGGCTTCGGTGACTCGGGATGTAAACACCAGCACACTTAAAAAGAAGTGTAACTTCGCCTCCAGGTCCTTCAAAAGAGTTATTGCCAAGGCAAATTCAGAGCACATAGGCAGAATTGGCGAGAAACTAGTTCGCCTTCCTTCGGGAACCCGTGCATTCTGGTCTCTCGCCAAGGCTGTCCAAGGGAATTTCTGTAAGCCATCACTACCAGCTCTGCACAGGGAGGACGACTCACTGGCCCAAGACGCAAAAGACAAAGCCGACCTTTTAGGCTCGCTTTTTGCGTCCAACTCGACTCTTGATGACGGGGGGAAAATACCGCCGACCATCCCGCGGTGTGAGTGCTCCATGCCGGATGTGCTATTCTCACAGCGCTCAGTTCGCAAAGCACTTCTCTCCCTGGACATCCAGAAGTCGAGTGGGCCTGACGGAATCCCCCCAATTGTGCTGAGGACGTGTGCTCCGGAGTTGGCACCGGTCCTAACGCGTCTTTTCCGGTACTCCTACTCCCAAGGCGTAGTCCCGAATTCATGGAAGACAGCTTTTGTCCACCCGATCCCTAAAAAAGGCGACCGCTCAGACCCGTCCAACTATAGGCCTATCGCGATCACCTCCTTGTTCTCCAAAATAATGGAATCCATTATTAACTGCCAGCTCATGAGGTACCTTGAGGATCACCAGCTGATTAGTGACCGCCAATACGGTTTTCGTCGGCGTCGATCAGCTGGTGATCTTCTGGTCTACCTGACCCATAGATGGGCGGAGGCAGTTGAGTCCAAGGGGGAGGCGTTGGCCGTTAGTCTGGACATTGCGAAGGCCTTCGATCGGGTTTGGCACAAAGCGCTTCTTTCGAAGCTCCCTTCCTATGGGCTTCCCGAGAAATTGTGCAATTGGATCACCAGCTTTCTTGCAGGTCGGAGCATCAAGGTCGTTGTAGACGGTGCATGTTCTGACTACAAGCCTATTAACGCTGGTGTTCCACAAGGCTGTGTGCTATCACCAACGCTGTTTCTTCTGCATATCAATGATATGTTGCTAACTGGTAACATTCATTGCTATGCGGATGACAGCACTGGTGATGCTCTATACACCGGCCGGCCAATATTTCTCGGGAAAACGTCGCCGAGTACCGGAACAAACTTGTGTCTGAAGTCGAGTCTTTGCTGGACAAAGTCTCGGATTGGGGGCGACTAAATCTAGTCCAGTTTAATCCTCAGAAGACACAAGTTTGCGCGTTTACCGCTAAAAAGAACCCCTTTGTCGTATCTCCTCAGTTTCAAGGCACTCCCCTTCTTGCCTCAGCCAGTATCGGTATCCTCGGAGTCGACATATCGAGTGACGTGCAGTTTCGTGGTCACTTGGAAGAGAAGGCCAAATTGGCCTCTAAAAAGCTTGGCGTGCTCAGCATAGTGGGACAGTATTTCATGCCGGCACACCGCCTGCAACTTTACAAGGCGCAGGTTCGGCCTCACATGGAATATTGTTCCCATCTCTGGGCAGGGGCGCCCCAGTGCCAGCTCCTTCCACTTGACCGCATCCAGCGCAGAGCGGCTCGAATCGTCAACGACCGAGCCCTTTCCGATTGGTTCGATTCATTGGCACTGCGAAGAGATGTTGCATCTCTTTGCATTTTCTTTCGCATCTACCATGGGGAGTGCTCTGAGGAATTGTTCGGATTAATCCCAGCCGCCAAATTTCATGAACGCACATCGCGGCAGAACTCCCGATACCATCCACATCATCTGGATGATTGGCGGTCCACCACTGTGCGATTTAGAAGATGTTTTCTTCCTCGCACGACTTCCTTGTGGAATCGATTACCATCAGCGATTTTTCCGGACCGATACGACTTAGGGACCTTCAAGAAAAGAGCCTACTCCTTTTTAAAAGGCCGGCAACGCATCTGCAATTCCCCTGGTGTTGCGGTTGTTAATGGGCGGCGGTAGTCACTTACCATCAGGTGAGCCGCATGATCGTTTGCCCCCTCTCCTGTAAAAAAAAAATAAAAAAATATACTTTTTTTGTAGAATAAAGCTGAACGCACATTTGTCCGCACCGTACGCATCGTACGCGCCGAGTTTTACTGATGGCCCGTAGAGGGAGTATTAGTTTATTCTCTCTCTACGTGATGGCCTCGCACATTTGCCCGCACGCATCGTCCGCACCGTACGCAAATCTTTTGTATTACCAACAACTTTTGTAGTTTTTTCCAGCCCCTGGTGTGAAACGGTAAATTGAAATTGATCGCTCGAAATCACTATGGAAAGAAATATAGTAATAGCCTGCTTATTGGCAGAGGAAGAAGAAACAAAATTCGGAGAAAAAGAAGATTCGGGATTCATAATATTAATTTATATATTCAATTGTATGGAGAAACTGAAAGGGATATACTTTATTTAAAGACTTATTAGATGATGATGAACGATTTTTCAGATATTTGCATTTAACATACAAGAAACTTCAAGAATTGCTACATATACTAAAACCATATCTTTCTATGGAAAACTCAAGATTTAGAAGGCCAATTGAACCAGAGAAAAGACTTGTTACTTATTGTAAGTATTTTTATTGATTATTAAGTGATTACTACCTGATTAGGTATAATTGGGTTTTTGAATTAAATTTAACCATTTTTTTTAGTTCAGTGTTTAAATAATTTATCACTAAGTATTCATATTGATCATCGATGTAAAAAAATTCAAATTATGTGTAACTAATTACGAATTAATGAAAAGTTATAAAAATACAAAAATTATCACGAAGTCGAAACCACCAGTTATAGTGGAAAATCTACTAAGTTGGTAACATTAGACAACACTGAGTATCAGCACGCACCGCGTTATATGACGTCATCAGCATTCGTCCTTCGATATCGTATACCTACCGCATTTTATAAAATTCGGCGCGTACGTTGCGGGTGTAATGTGCGAGCTTTCAAATGATTTCATACAACGAATTCTAAAATTCGGCGCGTACGGCGCGTGCGGCGCGTACGGCGCGGATAAATGTGCGTTCAGCTTAAGGGTGATAAACGAGCACACAGTCCACCTGATGGTAAGTGGTTGCTGTGGCCCATAGACATCTACATCTATCTTCGTTTGCGAATTAAAATGCAGATGCGTTGTCAGCCGTGAGGACTAAGATAGAATGCCTCTTTTCCAGTAAAAAGGCTCTCCGGTTCTCTACGAAAGACATTCTGTGAGAGCGTGGTCCTTCCTCGGTCGAGCCGACCCATTCGTGCTACAACTATACTATTAATTAATATAGCTGCAGCATGGCTCTACCACGTATAATAAAATTAAAATAAAATAATTATGTCGTACCATCAGATTATAATGTAGGTGTCTCAAGGTAAGAGTGAATAGGCTTTCGTTAAGCTAAGCCAGTGCGCTTCACCATCTTCAGCTGCATGAACACTTAACATCAGGTGGGATAGTAGACAAGCACTGGCTTGTATTAGTTGAAAAATATATATACCTTGCACAAATCTCTTGTTTACTCTGAAAATACCAGTCGTCAAAGTGTATAATGTATATTATAATCATTACGACGGTAATTAGGGATGAGAACGGAGGCTTTTCTAGGAGTTAGATGCGGGCATAGAAACAAAGGAAAGGAGGAAAGATCAAACGCGAGTCTATAACTGTTGCTACTGTTTTTAAATTTATAAAAACTGTAATGTTTAGGAATACAAAAACAGACTTTATTGCGTTCAATTCAATGTATTTCAAAATTAAAAATAAATATTGTACACCTATTAGCCTAAAAATTCGTACTTAAGTAATTTTAAGGAACACAATAGAAATTACAATAAACCACCCACATAAATTATGTATTGTTAATTTACTGTCATAATTTGTAATAGAGAAACAAAGGTATGAGTTGTAGAATCATAGTCTACAAAATTTTCAACTAAATAAATATTGTAAATACTGTAAAGATTTGGTTCTTATTGAAAAAGTTGGGAATGTTCAAATTACTTTGAATGTTTAGGTCCATAATGATTTTAATACATACAGATTTGATGCGGCAATGACACAGTAAGAACAAAACAATGTTTTAGTACTAGTGTAAAGATAAATCGTTACCGGCAGTAGGTACATAACATGTATCAAACATCAAGCGATCTAAACTTACAGCATTCATAGGGGCTCTGTACACAGAGCATACTAGCCTCAGTAATTATAAAAATAGTGAATTAAAGTTATTAAAATACATATTAAAAACCTGTAAATAGGACACTGTTATGGAAGGGTCTAGTCTGGTTAAGGGTGTGTTTCGATATACACTGACCACTGTAAGGTGTGACGTCAGTTCAGTATACTGTGAATTGTTTAAAACGGAACGCAGTCCAGTATACTGTCGTCCCCATTTTTCGACACTGAATATATTTATCATGTACACGTTTTCTGTTCAACAAGAAAAATTATTAATTGAATATTGTTGCTTTATTTGAATAACAATATTAATTAATATAATTAACAATCATTCGTCGAAGTCTTTTGGCGCTGTTATGTTTTCGATCAAGGTACTCAGCACCTTATCTCGACAGCGCCAGTGCTCACAGTACAAAAATGGCGGCGATTTATGACGTCATATATATTCTCCTAGGGTACTACGGCAGTTTACTAGTTAGTCCATAACAGAACGAATTTTTCATCAGTGAGAGCACTGATCTGTGTTCGCAATGTATATGGGAACATACCCTAAACCTTTTTACGATATTTTATCGAGTAAAACTTTGTAATATAGAATTAGCAATATACATTCTCGTGACAAACATTCAGAGATCCATCATAGTTTCAATTAAATAGTATTCCTTTCAACATATTAATTATTATCCGTTATAATCCTTTCAGTGTCACCTTTAAAATATATTATCAACTCTTACGTCATACATTTTTTTATTAAATAGAATTGATAAACGAACTTACTATCCACCTGATAGTATTAAGTGGCTACTGAAGATCGTAGACATTTGCAAATTGTCACCTTTAAGGACCGAGACCAAGATGAAATGCCTCATAGTCACAATAATAAAATAAAATATTAAATAAATTATATACAGGGAAATTATATTTCAGTGTAATTGGTAACTTTATATTCTAGATTATCTTAGTAGACAAAGGTACAAGAGCATACAGCCACGTTGCAAATAATTACTTTCGCATTATTCATGCGAATATGTATGATATAGAGTTGATATAAAATTAACGTCGTACAAAGGCAAAGTGGACGTTAGTGGTAGGAAGGAGGGATGGCGGTGTATGCAGTACGCACTAGACGAGGTCGACCTTCGGCGCGTCGGTGGGCCAGGCGTACTGCGGCGGCAGCGCGGCGCCGTAGCGCGCGTCGTACATCTGCGCGCGGATGAACGCCTCCGTGTCCAGTGGCTGCGGCTGCAGCTGCGCTTTGCCTGCAACAATTTTTTTACTTTCTTTAGTTAATTTACTGTCTACTGTATTTAGGTTTTTAATTGCAACAAGTCTTAACAACTTCTTTTAACTAAAGTAAACATTATGGTAAGTGGTTACTGTAGTTCACGGACACCTACAGACAACCTTCAACAAAGAATCAAATTAAGATGAAATACATTACAGCTTGTTATCATACTGCTTCTTTATTCCCTTCAGATCGGAACCCAGCAGTGTAAATTAATTCCTCCCTCTCCCTTATAACATCGGACAACCAGACGCTCGAGCAGTCTCCACCCTTTCGTTGTCGACTTACCACGCATTCGACACAAACGCCTTGGTTCATCGTTCGTCAAGCGTACAACAAAGGAGTAGAATGACTTACTAGCATTTGTCTTTCAATCCCATTACAATGTGGGTGTCTTAAGTGCGGCTTTTGTTAATTTAGTGCGTTTTAACATTTTTGGCAATATTAACACTTACCATCAAGTGGGTAGTAGTAGTCAAGCACTGGTTTATAACAGTTAAAAAAACACTACTATTTGGGCGGTAGTAATAGGTAAAAGGATGGTGCCTACCGAGAACTCCTAGACAAAGGAAAAAAACAAGAAAATAACAAACGAGCACATGGTCTACTTGATGGCAAATGGATGCTGCGAGCCATATTCAGCTATATCTCTATACTCGATTACATATAACACCACATATACATCATAAATTCCCACGACCGTAACCCAGGCAGATAAAGACTATGAACTTCCATTTGGCACGATACTCACATCTCTTTCGCTTCTCTCACATCCATCTCTACGCATACATGCTCGTCAGTTACGTGTACTCTAAATTTGGACCATTATCAAATACTAAGTAACGACTGGGTTTTCGCATTTATAAAGCTAGTACAAATGTATAAAGGCTTATAGAAACGACCACCGTTGACTGACGAGGATAGTTTCATGACTGCTTTGTGTAACTTATATGGGAAAATTGTTTTTCGGTGGACTTTGACAGAAATAGCTATGATACATACAGATATAACTTCATCTTTAGTCCGTTATAGTCGAAAAAATTTTATGTTCTCCGCTTCTACGTTAAGAAATTTATAGTAAGTTTTTATTTTAATATAAAAAGTAGATTACCAGTACTGTAGGCGTGCTCGACAATCTTCTTGGCGATCTTGACGGAGCAGTTCTGGATGTCTTTCAGCGGCGGGTACAGGCTGCCGTGATCCAAGTCTTCCTGAGATACGATTTCAGCCAGCGCCTGTAAGAATGATAACATTTTCTATTACTTCATGTCACTGTAAATAGACGGAAATATTTACTGGCGATTTTGAACGTTTTTTAAGGTAATTAAAATATGCAACATGTAACAAAAACCCTTTGGTTTCCGTTAACTGCATTATCAGAATCAGTACCTGTTCAGAAGTAAACAAATAACTTTCCTTCAGAAAACTAGAGCATAAAAAAATAATTAAAAAGTTTTTATTTACAAAATTGTACTTCTAATGGACCCTGCTTTACACACACATGCAGCACATTATATAGCTGTACAAAAATATACTAGAGTAGCCACGTTGCGACTATATTATAGTTGAAGCACGAATGCGTCGGCACGCCCGGGTAGGACCACGCTCTCATAGAATACCGGTGTAAAATAAAAGCTTAAAGGCTTATTACATTACACGATTTCTCGGGCCCTGCCCGCAGGGACAGGGTAGTGTAATAAGAAACAGGGAGTCAGGGTCCCTAAACAGGGCGACCGAGTGGTTCCGACCGCCCTGCTTCCCTGCCGCGCTGTGGATCGTGCAGTGTAATAAGAGACAGGGAGGCAGGGAGCTCAGTTGCGTGACCGCATGCGCAGAGTCTACACGTTTGTTTATTTAAAGTTCTACTATGTCGATCTACTCTCTAAATCATTACTCGTATTTATGTCATGCGCTAAAGAAAAAGATTCTTCTCAATGTCATCGACATCTACAAAGAAATGCCTTATCAAATATTCATAGGAGTTTCCAGTGGCTAAAATCGTAAAGTGACAACCAATCTCTCTTAAAAAAGTATTCATTTGAATAAAACTTCTTTTACGGATTCTATCGCGTTTAATTTTTTTTTATTAATTGCCGACGTTTCGGTTGCTTTACCACCCATGGTCACGGGGGACTGGTTGCTGTAAAGCATCCGAAACGTCGGGAATTAAAAAAAATATTAAACGCGTTAGAATCCGTACAAGTAGTTTTATTCAATGTGTAGTGTTCGCGTAAATATAAGAAATCATTAAAGTATTTTTTTATCTATTAAAGGCGTTACTAAGCTTAATAACTCGTCGAATTGGTTTTCACCTACTCTTTAAAATAGTTTCGTAGGTCTGTTTGGTCCAAAACGCTGACTATTTGCATATTCGATAGTTTTTCTCTGAGGAGCAAATATTTTTTCATCCACATTTAACTTTCCTTCCTTTTTTTAGCTTGGCCTTGCACGTTACCACCAGCCAAAGTTTTTTTTTTATAGGATAGGGTGGCAAACGAGCACACAGTCCACCCGATGGTAAGTGGTTGCTGTGGCCCATAGACATTTACATTTATCCTCGTATACAAATCAAAATGCAGATGCGTTGTCACCCGTGAGGACTGAGATGGAATGCCTCTTTTCCAGTAAAAAGGGTCTCCGGTTCTCTACACTCACCATACGAAACACAGCAGTGTTAAGCTTCTATTTTACGCTGGTATTCTGTGAGAGCGTGGTCCTTCCCCGGTCGAGCCGACCCATTCGTGCTACAACTATACTACTAATATAGCTGTAACATGGCTCTAACACGTAAAAAAACAATAAAGCAATTTTTGGACGTTTAGATAAAGTCTGCGCCATAATGCTAGACGTGCAGTCATATCCACGTTCGAGTAACAACTGAGGCAGGAAGCGATTTCTAGCGTAGTGTAATAAGCAGCGCCCTGTCCGGTAGGCAGGGTACACGATGGACAGGGCCCGATAAATCGTGTAATGTAATAAGCCTTTAAATGCTGCTGTGTTTCGTATAGTAAGTGCAGATAAATGGAGACCGTTTTTAGTGGAAACAAGGCATTCCGTCTTAGTCCTCAGGGGTGATAACGCATCTGCATTTTGATTCTTAATCGAAGATAGATGTTGATGTCTATGGGCTGTGGCCCATAGACATTACCATAAGGTAGACTGTGTGCTCGTTTGTCACCTTCATTTTATAAAAAAATATATTATTTTGTTCACTTTCATATGTATAACAATAATGGCGAGTGTGTGACCTGTGCGGCGAGCAGCATGAAGTCCTCGGAGACGTCGACGAGGCCGGCGCACAGGATGCCGAGCGCCAGGCCGGGGAAGATGTAGGAGTTGTTGCCCTGCCCCGGCCGCAGCACGCGCCCGTCCTTCGTGCGGTAGTCGGGGAACGGCGAGCCCGACGCGAAGATGGCGCGCTCCTGCACACACACAACGTCGTCCGTTATTTTCAAAATAAACAAAACAAATTTAATAAACTTATGTTTAAACATATAAATAATGATATACCGTTATTGCAGTTTTCGAAAATACGAGTAAATAAGGCTTCTACTGTTATTTGAAACTAGCTGTTCCCCACGACTTCGCCCACGTCAAATTTAGGGTTTTAATTATGTTGCGCGGAACCCTAATTCTTGTTCTAAAATATAAGTAGCCTAAGTTACTCCATAAAATATCAGCTATCTGTCAAAGTCCCGTCGAAATCGGTTCAATCATTTCGGAGATTAGCCGGAACAAACAGACAGACAAAAATTTTAGAAATTGTGTTTTTGTTATAAGTACCGTATATACTTTCATATGCATTTAGTAACAAGCTGGTATTTTGACATTACAAACAGACACTTCAATTTTATTTATTTGTATAGATTATCCCAAAGTGAATGTGATTTATGGGCAACGACGTTTTTGTCTACCGATCGACTCTTACAAATGTGTGTGTGCGCAGTAAAATCAGTAAAAACAATGCATTACCACGCATTTTGAATTTAAAAGATAAAAAGGACAGAATGTTTTTAAGTTTTCCTAACCATTTGCCTATATTACTTATTCTGAACCTTTCAGCAAATTTGGCGGTTATTGCAAAATAACCCTGTATAGGTTGTCCTGAAACTCAAAACCTTTCTTACTTCATCAGTTTGCAAAAGTCCACATGAAACATGCGCGCTTCCCATTGGCGGCAGAATTTACCGTAATCGTCACGCTTGACAGGTCGATTCATGATCACAGCATCAGACGTCTCGCAACTTTGCTCCCCGTCACTCGTCTTATAATTCACAGCTACCATAAACGGGGTGGTTATACGAAATTTTTCTTCTTCCTTCTTCTTCTTTCTGGCATTTGCCATAGTCACATGACGAACCGACCACGCATAAGACGAAATGGGATGATGGACATATCAAGACACAACACGGTAGCTCACGATACTAGGAGAGCATAATCAAGAAGCATAATCTTTATCTAAAGATAAACTACGATAACATGGCCAGTTCCTCCAAATTACTATCTGGGGGCACGGCAGTGCCCCTACCAAGTCGAGCAAAAGAGATAGAAGATATTTTATAAACAAAATCGCACCACTTTTACGTATCAAAATCTACTTTAAACCACTATTTCAACAAATACAGGAGCGGCAATCCGACGCCGGTTAAGTTAGGTTAAGTGCCAAAACTACGTGGTAGAACCATGCTGCAGCTATATTATGGTTGTAGCACGAATGGGTCGGCTCGACCGGGGAAGGACCACGTCTCACATAATACCAGCGTAAAATAGCAGCTTAACGCTGCTGTGTTTCGTATGGTGAGTGTAGAGAACCGGAGACCCTTTTTACTGGCAAAGAGGCATTCTATCTTAGCCTTCACGGCGGACAACGCATCTGCATCTTGAGTCTTTATTGAGGATAGATGTAGATGTCTATGGGTCACAGTAACCACTTACCATCAGGTGGACTGCGTGCTCGTTTGTCACCAGATCATATAAAAAAAAATTAAGTATTGATTCGTCTTACAAACGGGTCGATCATTCAAATTTATCATTTCTAGTTTCAGTACTCTCTGATCGGCGAGACCCGCTCGATAATGTCGGACATTACTATATTCTTTGGTCGTAGGCCCTGTCAACCGTTTGCTTAGGAACGTTCAAAAAATGTAATTGCAATCATCATTACTTTGATGCGACCCGGGGGACGCAAATGAACGAATCGTTCATATCTAGAACAGAATAAACGTACGTCGGTGTTGGCGTAGGCCTCCTCGGCGGTGCACTCGGCTTTGCTGGTGGGGTTGGAGAGCGCGAACACGACGGGCCGCGGGTTGTTTTCCGCCATCTTGCGCAGGATCGACGCATTGAACGCGCCCTTAATGGCTGCCGCCCCTGCACAAAACAGTAAACGGTTATGTACGATTACAGACTAAATACGCGTTCCACTGCTCGGCATAGGCCTCCAATATTTCCTTGCCCTAAAATCTCATTTCTGGGGCTTACTGGCAAGGAAATGTCCACCGCGCTATCTCGATACGTAAAACCTTTCGAAAAGCTTCCTTGGCAGACTTACATGTCTTCGAAAGGTTTCGGAAGATTTTAGGGCAGGGAGATGTCCGAAAGGTTTCAGGTTTTAGGGCAGGGAGATTTCCGAAAGGTTTCAGGTTTTAGGGCAGGGAGATGTCTGAAATGTTTCAGGTTTAAGGGCAGGGAGATAGAGATGACCGCGGCGCTGTCGCAATACGTTTGTTAATTTTTCACACGTGCAAGTTTTCTCATTATATCTTTCATCAGCGTCGATCTCATGGTAAATTACCACTGAAAGTTGCAATTAACAATTTCATTGATGCCGGCGTGGAACATACACAAAATATATCGCGTTCTGTGAAATTTAGCCCCTGATCTTCGAGTACGAATACGGGAACAAAACATCACGTATAAGTGCCACACCCTTATTTGCATTTTTTTTATAGGAAAAGGGTGACAAACGAGCACACAGTCCACCTGATGGTAAGTGGTTGCTGCGGCCCATAGACATCTACATCTATCCTCTATTACAAATCAAAATGCAGATGCGTTGTCCCCGTGAGGGCTAAGATGGAATGTCTCATTTCCAGTAAAAAGGGTCTCCGGTTCTCTACAGTCACCATACGAAACACAGCAGCGTTATGCTGCTATTTACGCTGGTATTCTGTGAGAGCGTGGTCCTTTCTCGGTCGAGCCGACCCATTCGTGCTACAACTATACTACTAATATAGCTGCAGTATGGCTCTACCACGTAAGACATATATTAATTAAGAAAACCAATTCTTCCGATTTCGTCGAGTTTAATTTCAAATTATATAAATTCGCTTCGGTGAAAAAAAATTGAGAGTTAAAACTCTCAATTTTTTTTCACCGAAGCGGTGGATCCAATTTTAATTTAAAAAGAAGGGGAAGAGGAATACAATATTTTTTACAATAATATAATTTACAATTTTATTTTTAATTATAATTTACAATTTTTTCTTATTTTATACTATTTTTAACTCTACCACGTGTTTGAAGTTAAAGAAAATCTCGAGAATACTTGCAAGACCAAGAAAATACTTCGTTTGATGCGCAGTTCGACAATATGCACCTGGCATAGTGGCTTACACATTAGAAGAGGCTTGTACCCAGGAGTAGAACGTTTAAAGTAATAACTTGGTAGAATACTATAGAAAAGAACATTTTAATACTACATAGTAAATTATAAATAATACTTATTGAAAGTCACTTTGTACTTTTACTACTAATTTGATAAAATCAGTCATGCGAAGAACCGGCAAAAAAAACCCAGCGGATAGGCACGTATCATTTTACAAATTAATATAAAAATGAACACTTAATTATGAAATCAATTTAAGAAATTGCTTTAAAACGATAACCTTATTCTATTAACAACCTTGTTTCCCATAATATTATAAGCCTTTTTAAACAGCCTTTGTTTCATTAAAAAAAATAACTTTGTGACCCATAGACTATATTTTTTAGTCAGTATAGTTTAGTTTAGTATTTTTGTTTAGACCTTGAAGAAGGAACACTAACCGATGAGCACTGAGGGTTTAGCGACATCCACGACTTCCTCCAGCGTACGAAGTGGCGGACAGTTCTTGGCGAACTTCTCCTTGTGTTCGTTCAGCCCTCCTTCGGGACGGTCGTGTACTATTAGACCCTGTACAAACAATTTTATATTTCTTCTGCTCTATTATCAATTCATAAACAGTCTTAGCCAAACTTGAGCGATATATGCCATAAACCCTACAGGTGGAATGGCAATTACAATCTACTGCTGATCATTAGTTTTCCTCAATGTGAGATGCCAGACGCCACAGTTAGACGGCTCCGTGGCGTTCGTATCATTGAGTTACGTTGCGGGTTCGAATCCCATAGGGAACGAGGCTTACAAATAATTGTTTCGGGTTTGAATGTTTGTCCTTGTGCAGTTTATGTATGTTAACTGCCACCACGATTCAGGAGAAAATCTAGGGTTTAAAAACGATTATTTCAAAAATAAAATAGTTTGGAAACCCAAAAGACCACGCCTCATGAGCGTTTCATTTAAGTTTGATGAAAGAAAATGAAAATAGCGACGATAATTTTTACAAGAAAAAAGAACAGAGAATCTGGTCGACTTTCATTAATAACTTTTAAACGATTCCAACAACAAAAATGAATAGGGATCCTCCTTAGAATATATGGAATCTTATTTAATACTATATCTCAATCTATTGCTTACATTTCTATTAAGCGAGAACAGTCACCGACGCATAGACCAACGGACGGCAGTCCATATATTATTTTAATTACATTTTTTGTTATGTAATCTAAAGTGAATCAATTAGAAAATAAACTGATCTTATAATTCAATTTTGTAGTTATTGTAACGTTAATAATAATGTGGCTTTGATGTCTAGCTAAAAGTATAGGAAGGCCACATATCGAGAGTAAAGCACTCCCTCACGTTGTGTGACGTGACTGGCGTGCAATAGGCTCTACTTTCCGTCGCCGGCCTGGGTATTTTATAACCACCAATAATGGACAAATTATGCTGCGTGCTGGAGGAGTTATGGAATCCAATATAGAAGAAGTTCTATAGCTTAGGTATGGATTGATAACCACCTTATCTTTATACGCCGCAAAGCAGCAGTGTATACGCTGCTGTCTCCCGGTATAAAGTTTAATTACATATTATACATTTGTAGCAACGCATCAGTGGCCTTCTTGTTTGAAGAAGCAAGAGCTCAAGCTTGGCCTGCAGAAGCCATATGCCATCAGATGGCATGTTAGCTAATTGTCAAAAATATTAAAAAAAAATTGTTTACACTCTGTAAGTTAACATATTTTGTAATTTATAAACAAGTAGTATATATTATATTATACCTTAGAGTCGACCATCCAAATGCGAGCGCGCGCATCCTCGTCCGAAACGCCTTCAGCCTTCATGGCCATCACGCACAGCTCCGCAATGCCCAGCGAGGCCTAACACAAACATCAATGTAGAATGTATATGTAAGCTCGTTAAAAATAATTTAGATAGTTCATCCATCCCAGGAATCGAGAGTCTGCCTTTTTATGGCTGCAGCACGTACGGTCGAGGTTTATGGTTTATGTACCTTATTCTACATTTGTCATGTATTTTTTAACATACTTGTTTTTAATTTACATTAAATTGTCAAAAACGTAAGAACTTTGGTATCACGTCCGAGCTGAGCAACCAGGAGTTCCAATACATAGAATCCCTTCTTAATAACTCCAGTCTCCCAACACGTTTTAATGTGGACGTATTTCATATGATATAATTATATGATTTTAAACGTTAAGGTACATATCATATACAGGTACATGATAATCATGACTGACAATGATCATGACTATGACCATGACTATGACACATGACTATAAGGTTCATATGATATTGGGCGAAACTTATTGGTTACACGGTATGACTGCAGCACGAATGGATCGGCTCGACGGGGGAGGGATCACGTTTTCACAGAATATCAGCTTGAAACAGCAGAATAATTATACTACTGTTTTGTACCATCTGTGTAGAGAACCGCAACTCCTTTTCACTGGTAACAAGGCGTTCCGTCGTAGTACACAATACAAGAGAAATTCTTAGTGGGGGGTTTATACATGTTTTTAAATAATAAAAAAAAGTTTGAGTAAGAATATTTGGTAGTAGCTGCTAGAACTGTAAGTGGATACTAAACATTAGCGAACTCTCACCTCTCCAGCGCCCTGGAACACGAATACGTTCTCGGAAAGTTTCTTTCCTGTGAGCCGGAGGCTGGCGAGCAGGCCGGCCACCGCCACGGCCGCCGTGCCCTGGATGTCGTCGTTGAATGTGCAGTACCTTGCACACACAACATAAATTAGTACACACAGAAAAACAACGGATCAGTAAGCTGAAGGAGGGCTAATAATAATCTTACGCTCACCAGATGTCGCTAGTTGGTACTGAGGTAATTTTATTTGTCAGGGAAATGGGCACGCAGTGTCACCTTCATTGAAAGTTGTGGTTAAAATAAAAGTTTTTCTGTTTATGGTGTATGCATATACAGAAATGTGTCCTTTAATTTGTTACACATTAAAAAAATATTCCTCTACTTTTAAAAACGTCTAGTTTAGTTTATCAATTTCTAATCTAATTCATATAAAATATAACTAATATTTCAGAAACAAAGTTTAATCTCTAGAATTTTCTAACAAATTAACTTCCCCCGCCATGAAATCTGTCAAATGCCCTCAGTGGCAAGGATCCGGCCATATAGCTCGACAACCGATGGGGAAGAAAGGTTCTCGAGTGGCAGCCTCGCATCAGTAAGCGACTGTATGTCCGCCTCCCACTACATGGAGTGACCATCTGGTAAGACATGCAGGAAGTCGATGGATGCAGGTGGCTCAGGACTATGTTTCGTGGCGTTCCTTGGGGGAGGCCTATGTTGAGCAGTGGACTTGTGAAGGGCTGTAATGATGATGAAAAATAATAACAGCCTGCTCGATTGACGATAGACTTGCGGATTGACGATAGATGCCATACTTTTCGTTTACAGTTGAAATATCGGAAGCCTAAGCTAAGCTGGATCCCCGCCGGCATCGGATACAGACGTGTTTTTTGGTCAAATCTAAGATTCAAGGATAAACACCGTGTATTCGCACTTTGAAATTATTTACGTATTATAAATTGTATGTATATGTCACATCTAAAAGCCGAAGAGAGGTTGCACCGTAGACTTATTTAACCGCCTTCAACTAGGTGCACGGCTCACCTGATAGTAAGTGTCAACCGCCACCCATGAACAACTGCAACACTAGCGGAATTGCAGGTATGTTGCCGGCCTTATAATAACGAGTAAAGTAATACTTGAAATAGATGGATGGTTTTGAACGTGGTAGAGCCATGCTGCAGCTATATTAGTAGTATAGTTGTAGCACGAATGGGTCGGCTCGACCGGGGAAGGACCACGCTCTCAGAGAATACCAGCGTAAAATAGCAGCTTAACGCTGCTGTGTTTCGTATGGTGAGTGTAGAGAACCGGAGACCCTTTACTGGCAAATAATCATTCCATCTTAGTCCTCACGGGTGACAACGCATCTGCATTTTGATTCTTTATTGAGGATAGATGTAGATGTCTATGGCTCACAGTAACCTCTTACCATCAGGTGGACTGTGTGCTCGTTTGTCACCCTATCCTATAAAAAAAAGATGAGCGGCTCACCTGCCGCGGTACTTCTCGAGCAGGCGGAACGCGTTGGCGTTGGCGAAGTCCTCGAACTGCACGAGGCAGTTCTGTCCGAAGCGGCGCACGACGGCCTGCATGAACTCCTCTATGAACTCGTCGTACTGCGCGCCGCGCACGCGCCGATGTCGCAGCCCGATGTACAGCGGGTCGTCCAGCAGTGTCTGGTTGTTCGTGCCCACATCTGCGAACCCACATTTATAGGCCATTTATAAGGAGACAATATATTTATATGTAGTAAAGCCACGCTGCAATGAGTTATGGCCACGCCTGCACAAAATACCAAAGTGAAATAGCAGTGTTTTGTATAGTGAGTGACGAGAAAACAAAACCAACTCTGACGGGTCCGTGGCGCACTGGTTTAGTGTTTAGTTGCAGCGCTAAGGGCCGCGAGTTCGAATCCCGCACGGTACAAGTATTTGTATGACCTACAAATAATTGTTCCGGGTCTGGATGTTTGTCCTTGTCCTTTTTAAAAGGAAAGTAAAATCCAGAAACACTTTATACAACGCATCTATATTTTAATTTTAATCGTCTGTTAGCCACATCATCTTCTTACGATCAGCTGACCCTCTTATGTTGCCTAGCAAGATGCCATCTATAACGTAATGTCGTCAATACCAAATTTCGGTCACGGCGGCCAGCCTCAAAAGAGACTAGCCATTTTCGCAGTACAGAATTTTGTAATTAGGTGTGTACTATTATTACGTATGTTCTTCCGTTTGTAATGAAACATGCAATAAATATTTGAATCTGAATTCATACTTTTTAACAAACTTTTGAATTATTTTTAAAATGCGTAAAAGTGCTTTAAATATAGTGCCACTCGAACAGAGCAGAATAACAGAAGCTTTCGCTCTCGAATCGATCAAATATCTGAGCCCGATTACACAACCTCGTCGTGGAGGTCATGGACGTTTAAAAAAAGGACTATTTATACGTCCATGGTGGAGGTAGTTGCTGTCCAGTGACAGTTTACAGTGGACTATTGAACGGCTGTGATTGGAGCCCAGCGTTTTAATAGGCCATTATTAAATGTGCTTGGCAAATAATTGTCACAATTGTCAGTTCTAGAAGGTGGTTTTATAATATATTATTAAATTTGAAATTGCTTTTAACGGAATTTACATAAATTAATTTATTCATTCATTATCAACATTGTACAGCTGAATATTGGCCGCACCCATAGATTATCTTATAATTAGAGGGAATATTTAGCATGGTTGCCACGCTGGGCAGGCGGATTGGCTACCGTTTATTTTAACCATTAAAAACATAACTTGTAAAAAAACAAGTCTCGCAACTCAGTTCTTCTACCGTAAAAAGTTGTGAGATCCATGTAATACCAAGTCGGTTAATTTATTCAGTCCCTACTTAACTCACTTGGCATGCACATTTAGAGTTAGTTATGGATAGAATCCGAAAGCTCATATGGATATTTAAATTCAGGCTTCTAGTTTTATCCACAACGAAGTTATAGGGGGTCGAAAATGGCCTGAACTGTTTCGAGAAAAGGATGGTACGGCCGTGCCGGTTTTTTACTCGACATGGCGGGGGCACTACAGTGCCCCCAGAATTTTTTTTATGGCCATCTTTCATTTGCCTGTGCAGCCTTTCACGACACCCACGAATGGTATGGAATAGTAGATTATTTTACGTCACCACTACACGGCGGACAACTAGACGATGCATACAACTTAATAATTTCTTAATTTATACGTGGTAGAGTCATGCTGCAGCTATATTAATAGTATAGTTGTAGCAGGAATGGGTCGGCTCGACCGGGGAAGGACCACGCTCTCACAGAATACCAGCGTAAAATAGCAGCTTAACGCTGCTATGTTTCGTTTGGTGAGTGTAGAGAACCGGAGACCCGTTTTACTGGAAACGAGGCATTCCATCTTAGTCCTCACGGGTGACAACGCATCTGCATTTTGATTCTTAATCGAAGATAGATGTAGATGTCTATGGGCCACAGCAACCACTTACTATCAGGTGGACTGTGTGCTCGTTTGTCACCCTTATCCTAATAAAAAAAAAAATTCCAAGAACTTTTAAGTCGTTGTAAGTAGGCTAATTTAAATATTTTAAATATTAAATTAAATTTAAGCTTGCAACAAGACATAAAAATTAAAAATTTTTTGCACAAAGAGCTGCCTAGCTGGAGTGCAAGAGACTATTTTAGTGCCAGTTTGGGCAGGCTTTCATAGAACATATATTTGACTTCCTTTTCATAGTATTTACATAACTTACATAACAATGCGTACCGTGATTCGTATGACAAGGTACGTGAGGGTAATATGGTCACCTCCCTATAAAACCAAAACAAGGAGGAGGACAGAGATAGAAACACAATTATGCTTATGGAATAACTTTTATATTGCGATATATAAATACTTTGTCAACTGCTAGCTTTTAAATCCACGAATATACGTCTGACTAAGATTCGACAGCGAATTGTTTCGTCTTGTTAGTATTACGGATTACTTATCCTATATTCACCTTATGAATACATAGATTTAAAAAGTATTTACTAATAAAGTTAGTTGGTAGTAGTAATAAAGTTTACTACAAAACATTAAACATATTAAGCACCAATAAAGCTATTAAGCTTTATCTAGATATATTATATAAGATTTATCTCACCTAGAGTAATAGGCAGGCACTGGTGGGGCTTGATGCCGGCGAGCGCGGTGTACAGCGCCAGCTTGCCCACCGGGATGCCCATTCCACATGCCCCGAGGTCTCCGAGACCTAGGATCCGCTCCCCATCGGTTACCACGATGGCCCTCACGTCCGTCTCGGGCCTAAAGCATACATACATAGATTTAAGATATTTAGAAATTGAAGTAGACATAATATACATAAATAATGGAAGTCGATTTTAATCAAAGCGATAACTTCCGGAAGTTGTGAAATGTGCGTGTAATTTCTAGTGTTACAAGCCATCGAAATATTTTTTAATTCCACGGATAAAACAGATTTCCTCACAATGTACTTTGAATATTTAAGGCGAGCGCTTATCCCCTAATATAGTGACTAGTGACATATAATTCTGACACATGATTTTAATGTTCTTTTCAATTTAAAAGGAACCGGGAAGTTATTTCGCATTAGTCTATCGTTAATTATAGTCATGTGTTTACAACACGACCTTCCTTCCTTGACATGATATTAAATTACCTCGTCACTTTTATTTACTTTGGCACAATATACAACCGGCATTTAGTCTTCACCAACCTTGACCATTCAGTTTCGCTAATCGTAATGACGTGATCTCATGATCATAACTAGACATGTAACAAAAACATTTAAAGGAGTTAGTGATTTTGCATAGTCATATTTGTTTTGGTTTCATATTTATCAGGGACTTATAGCCATGATGTCTTATATTTATATATTTTGTGTATATCTTCTTTTTGTGTATATCTTATATTTATATATTTTGCATCGGCGACAGCTTTTTGGCCTGATCTGATCTGCATTTTAACTACTTTTATTTTACCAATATGAAAATAATATAGAAGAGTAGGAGGATGGACTACGTTTGACTGGTAGTGTCCTAAGTCTTATGGCTGTAAACTGGTTACGTGCCGTTAATAGTTATTAACATATTAGAATTTTACCGAAACTTACAGTTCCAAAATTCGGGCTTTCTGTTTTATTTTCGGCCAAACACTGTACAATCCGATAGATGGCGATTAAACCACGCCGTTTGTGTGTCTGGGCGCTACCACAGTTTAAGAGGATTGTAAAGTGCCGATAAGCGGCGAAAATACGTATTTTCAAAAATGCTCTCTGTTTCATACAATAGAGAGAGTTGCAAGACTTGGCGGCAATTGCATAAATTTCTTTTTTCAAATATTGTTTCGGGTGATAACTTTTTCACCTAATTAGAATCAATACACCTTAATTTTACGTATACGTATGTTTTTCTTTTTTAATAGTTCAGTTTAGTGTAATTAAAAAAAACCACTTATATTGTACTCAAGGGGGGAGGGGGCATTATCGCTTTTTGTATGAAATTTACAGCTTCACAATCCTCTTAAATCATTTTAAACCGTGGCCACAGTCCACCTAATTATAAGTAATTGATGTTGTGGCCAAATTTTATGTAAATTATAGATATCATATATTATATAAATTACATGTTGCAAAATCAAAGTCCCCTGTCACACCTAAGAACTAAAATAGAATGCCACTTTACCAGTAAAAACAATATCCGGTTCGCATCTCTCACCATATGAAATAAAGAAGCCTTATGCCTATTTACGCTGGTATTCTGCGAAAGTGTGGTCCTCCCGCAGTTGAGCCGACACATTTGTGCTGCATACATAATACAGATGTAAAGTGGTAGACGTGTACCCTAAACAAGTACGTTGAAATTTGTGTGACTGATTTCATTACAGAAATCCACGTGAAACATATTATTTTTAGATCATTTCCACCACAAAAAGTTTACCAAACTATAGGTATAACCTAACGACACTAGATTAAAAAAGAATTTCGGACTTTTTGTAGTACTATTTGTGACATACTTAAGTAAATTAGGGCTGATTTAATCACCAGATAATAGTTATCCATGTTATATAAATAATAAAATATAACATGACTGAATATAAAAGTTACACAATTGAACTATTTTGATAATATGAATGTAGCTTTTAATTTGTTTATGTTGTATCTTATCCTATGAATAACTTTTATCAGACGATTGTAAAATCGTCCCTTAATGATTCTATTTCATTAAAACAATGTAAATTGTAAAGTCACAATGAACTAGATCGCCTCGGAGAGCCCTGTTGGCCCGAGGCACATGACTTTGGCCTGAAACTAAGGCCGATTGACCTCTAATCTGTAACACCTTGCAATCTGACACGTTTTTATATTATTGTCATAATCAGCATTATATGTAACATTGAATATTGAAATAAATATTCGCACATTAAATTCGGACTAGTATTTTTGGTGATTGGGGGAGTGGGCTTATGATGCGCGTTGGTTACTGGATTATATACTATTTTTCGTAACTATCCCGATCTATATACAACAATATATAATATACAGGTACATACAATATTTGCCGTTAAGTATCAATTTTTTTAATGTTTATATAGCTTATGGATATGGAAAGTTTTTAAAGTCAGCTAAAATGTATGGAAACTCATTTTCGTATTTTTAAATTGAGGATGAAAGTTTGAGTCTACTCCACTAAAAACTAAAATTCTTACTTTCGATGATTTTTGAGTAACTTTGAGGAATGTTGGGAAATTTATTATTTTATGTGTGAAATTATAATGTAAAAAAATCATGTCAAAAGAAAAAAAAATTGAAAAATAACTACTACAAAAAAGATATGAATTTTTGAATCTCCCACCGGCAGAAAACACTACACACTACACTACACTAAAAATACAAAACAAATTATAACTCGAAAACTACAAAAAATCCGATAATATAGATGGGGTATGGTAAAAAAAAACATTTTGTTCTCCTACGGTCCTACGGTGTGGCTCCATAGTGCATAAAACAAAATACTGGTTCAGCAGCTGACAACATCATCGTTGTTGCCGGAAGAATTTTAAATAAAATGAAATGTAATCTGTTTATATTTGGATTTTCACATGTACTTTTTATAAAATTAAACGTATTGTACAAAAAGCAAAACATTTTTTGAATATAGGAAGCGGCCTTAATCTTTTTATAGACTTTTCTTATATTCAGAAAGGAATCTGTTACACCGGGTACTGGACTGGAATATAAAATTATTTGTATAATACTTACCAGTTCTTTAAAATATCGTAGACGTGTCCCTTGTCGTTAATTGTGATGAAGAGACCACGAGGGCGGCGGTAGATCAGGCCGTACTTCTGACAGGCCAAGCCTACAGTGGGAGTGTACACGATGGGCATCATGTCCGCCACGTTCTCGCCCACAAAGCGATAGAACAGATGCTCGTTACGGTCCTGGGGTAAATGAAAAAGTTTATGAAATCTATTGTGAAAGCTTGATATAACTAGTCAAAGTCATAATCGTAATTTGTGTTAAAACTCTCACGTGGTAGAGCCATGCAGCTAAATTATGGTTGTAGCATGAATGGGTAGGTCCAGCCGGAGATGAACCACGCTCTCTCAGTATAAATTCGAACCCAGGGCTTCTGAGTTTCGCAGTTCGTACCCTTAGCACTTTAGGCTACTGTTGCTTGACTAAATCGAAATCGGAATAAATCGGAAAGAACTTAAGTCCTAAAAAACTTGTTTAACAGTCTCGTATCAAGTTGAACACCTGGGAACCGAGATATGTGTGGCCTTAGCATTGGTAAAGGCTGCGACCTTATCAAGATACGAGGGAATGTTCGTACATTATTCATTATGACACATATATACTAGTAATAACTATAACATTATTCGATATTATTCCACTCCACGACAGCCTATAAAAGTTTACTGCTGAGCAAAGGCCAGCCCCATAGATTGTCTCATAGGGAGAATTTTGCCATAGTTGGTAGGCTTGGCAGGCGGGCCGTGTAAGCGCAGATTTTTATTATTTTGAGTTACTATCAAGAAAATGCTTCTGTCCATCTCCTGTTTAAGTTTCCCTTTGTAAAAAGCGCTTACGACACCTACGCGACGAAATGGGTTAGTGGATATTCTACTACACGGTTCGATGTATTTTTATTATTAAAAACTAAAAGAAAATTTGCAAATTTTAACAATTTCAGTAAATACTCCATTAAAACTCAGTAAATTGTAAGCTTTAAACTGGCCTACACTTAGCCTTAGCCCTGGCATTATTGTGTTATAAAAGAAGTATTTACTAGCGTTATGGTCATTAATTAGTCAGTCATCATTAGGATACAATGAACAAATCTTTGCCAGTTATCTTTATAACTTTATATTGGACACTTCATTTATAAAAAAAAGAGTATAATACTTTAATTTGCCGGGTAGTTGCATCGCAAGAGAATCTACTATCCCAAGTCATCGATTCGAAAACAGAAACAGGAGATGGGCAGCTGCATCTACTTGATAACAACTTTAACCAATAAAAACAACCGCGGTTACTTTGTTTAAATTTTATATATTAACGATATTTATAAAAAAAAACAATTAAAACAGTTCACTCACCAGTAATCCCATTAGGTAGATATACTTGTTCAGCGGATCTTCATATCTCTCGATAGAAAGCTTGCAGAGGTGGACTTGCTCATCTTGAGTCTTCACTCTCGCAGGTAACAGTCCATGAATGCCCAACGCCTGTCGTTCTTCAATAGAGAATGCCATGCCCTGTTGACAAACAAGCCAAAGTAAATTCTAATATTCTTATCGAAATCAGTCTAAAGCTTACATACTGATACTTAATCTTTATATATAAAAATTAGGTGTCATGTTGTTTGTCCGCGATGAACTCCTAAACTACTAAACTGATTTCAATGAAATTTTGCACACTGTGTGCAGTTTGGTCCAACTTGAGAGATAGGATAGTTTTTATTCCGATAAGTGACCCTCAATTTTTTTATTGCTAATCTCAGGAGTTTTTTTAAGAAAAGCAAATGGTCGTCGGAAATGGCAGAACAACGTCTGCCTGGTCAGCTAGTCTATATATAAAAAATACGTGTCACATTGTTTGTCCGCGATGAACTCCTAAACTACTGAACTGTTTTCAATGAAATTTGCACACTCTGTGCAGTTTGGTCTAATTGGAGAGATACGATAGTTTTTATCCTGATAAGTGACACTCAATATTTTTTTACTACGAATTTAAGGGATTTTTATATGAAGGGCCGTCGAAAAGGCGGAAAGTCGGAAAAGGCTGGCGAGCTAGTAATAATATATAAAGAGAAGGGTTTTGGAACCTAGTAGAGCTACGCTGCAGGCTTATAATTGCTGCAGCACGAATGTGTCACAACTCGATTGGGAAAGGACCGTGCTCAACAGAATACCAGGGTAAAATAGCAGCATAATGATGTTGCCTCGTATTATTATAAAAGAAATATAAGTGAAGGTGACAAATGAGCACATAGTCAACCTGATCGTATGTGAATGCTGTGGTTTATAGAAAACTACATCTGTCCTCGATTAAGAATCCAAGTCCAAAATGTATTGTCAACCCTTAGGACTAAAATTGGATACCACGTTAAGTAAAAAGGTTTTCCGACTGTCTACACTTACCATAGAAAACATTATGTTGCTATTTTACTCTATTTTAGTATTCTTTCTCCGGTCCATTCGTACTGCAGCCATAGTACAGCTGCACCGTGGCTCTAACCAAGCAGCACATAAGCGATATGAACATCAACATACCAGCTCACATAGAACTAAGCGTTCTTGTAAAAACGTATAAGAGTGTTGAAAAGAGGTTGTATCCTTATAAGAGTGGTTTATGAGTTATAGTTACAGTTCAAGCTAAAAAAAAAAAGGTATAAAGTCTGTATTATGGGATATTAGTAGTAAGCTTAGGGTTCTTAATCAGAATATGAAAACTCTGGTATACAACTTTCAAGTATTTTGTAACACTTCAAACTGATTTTATCATTAAAGTTGTATATAAACTGCTTTTTTTTTGCATACTATCCCTTGCTTATACAGCCTGAATGTTATTATAGTATCGAAAGCGAGTAAACAAAAACACGCTCAGTGCGTACTTATGTTGCGAAAGCATTACACACATAATTGAAAATTCAATTTAGTATTCTATAGTAGTTTCTTTTTGTTGTAAATAAACAGCGTTAACTATGCAGGTTTAATTTTAAATTAAAGTGGCGACTCCATTGAAATGACAACTTCATACTTTAAACCTATAACGGTGTAGTAGGTCTGTGTTACACTTTTTTATTTAAAAAAAAAACGCTAATTACTTAAATCTTATTTTTTTCACGTTGACAAAGGAGCAAATTATGCTCGTACGAAACAAATGCAGTGAAAGTTATGTTTTGTATATTGCAATAAAACAACGTTTATTATATTTCCCTGCGAATATTTAGTAAACATGTGCCTCTTGATGCAAAGATCAAACTAATATAATCACTTGGTAACGATTATGTATGTAGACAGTGTTTATATTTTAATATTACAATGTAACTGCATTATTCAATCGACATGACGTCAAATCAGACGGTAAACAGTAACGAGACCAATAAATAGGTCATTTCGGTTCGTCCTACATGATGGAATATGAAACGGGAATAACATATTTTCGTTCTGCACTATACTATTTTAAATAAACTCATTAAATAAGATACATATACATTATAACATTGATGTATTGTTCATCATCATCATGCATCACGGACTATTCCATACTATGAAAGTAACTGTTATTAATATTATCCAGAAGGGATATCGTTGTTCTACCATCCAGAAGGAATGTATAATAACAAATTGAAGGAAAGTTACAGAATATACCCGTACGTCCTACTGATAGGCTCTGTCAGGCCTCCGCTCATACTGAAAGTCCACTGCGCTACTTGAATGCGTGTGGGCGGACTTCTGAAGGCATGTGTCCATACAGAGTAAGAGTGATAAAATATATAAAAGTGTATAATACGAAAAATTGGTCTACGAAATATTTCTATTTCTCGGACATGGTTTCCTCAGGACATTTTCCTTCAACGCCGAGCACTTGGTAATGCAGCTTTTAGAATTTCAATTAACAATTTCATTGATGCCGGCGTGAAAAGAAACCGGGCGTTCTTTGAAATTTACAGCGAGTACTTAGCTCCTAAGGCTTCCACGGCCAGTGTATGCTTTTATATATTAGGCTTTTGATATAAACATTTTAATAAAAATGAATAATATCAATTAACTATCAAAAAAAAAACGTAAACACAATAATAATCAAGTAAAGGATACACTATAAATTTTCATTTTCTTCAATAATAATATTTACCTACGCTATATCCGATAAAATGGATTTCTGCTTGCCTGCCGCCGGGCCATGTTCAATCCAGGCGTAACTTACACGCTTATGTAGGTGTGTAAGCTAAGGTATGTAGGCAGAGGTATTTTGAACAGAATATTTTGAGGTCAGTTTTGTAACAGTCACCGCTATTACGGACAACCAACTAAGATGATCAGATGACTGCATGAAGTTTATTCATATCTGGATAAACTTTTATACATATCTGGATAATTTCACTTCCTCGTCATGCAACCATCAGTCATCAATTTTGAGCGTAAGTGTGATAACATTTTCTCAAGCACGCGTCAATCAGCATTCGGACAGCGATAAAGTCAAACTTGGATCACGCAGAAATGACCTTCATCTCAAGTGTAATTAATTAGTAATTACCCTGTGCACGCGCAGCCTTTCACTGCAGCTTCCGTCTACTGTGCTACTGCCAAGAAAGGATTTTGTATAGAAATATCGACAATGATTCGCATAGTCGTTATACTTTTACGCAATCTGTATTTCAACCAATAAGTTTATGTGATTATAGTAATCCCTTTTAAATCCCAATGCAAGCTTTTTTATGAATATCCATTTTATCTCGAGTAAAAACGTGTTTTTTCAGTGAAATATTGCATATAATGTGCTGGCGGTTAGTCAAATTGAACGTGTTGTCTAAATAGGTAGAGAGTTCGATCCCGGTTCTAGTTGTGTAGCTGTCATATAATCATTAAATCGTGATTCGTGATCGATGGAATTGACTGTTGGATGAATAAACATGTAATAGACTTACAAATTTTTTACACAGTAATTTAAACAGAAAATTAAATTTTCGGACTAAAAAGAGCAATTTGCCAATTCTGTTTAACAATTCATATTTATTTAAAACGGGCAGCCGCTTGAAACAAAGCCACCAAAACAAGCCAATCCACCATGACAGATAAGTTGTTACGATATTTATAAAATACTTATGACACGTTTCGTTTAATATAGCATTGTTGTATGTATATTAACGAGGCAGATATTTGAATATCGTATGTATCCTAACAAAAAGTCCTAATTGCCGGTACAATGAATCTTAAATAATCCTATGTGTTTAATATTAAAGTAACAGAGCAAATTTAAAAATGGTCATAAGAAACAGTAAACTATTTAAAACATTGGTTTAATTTCTTCTTTTATATGCTACACCAAGGTTTTTTAAAGTTTTCTGTAAAGTTGACAGTTAATAGATAGGACTAATTACTGTCAACTTTACAGTAACTACCATTTCACTTACTATACAAGTTGAATTAGTTGTACCCAAAAATATATACTGGTGAACTTAATGATTATAACAAAAGTAATTAACGGATTGGTCGCGCTTAATTTTAACTTTATTAATTTGTTTGGTTAAAACTTTCTTCATTATAAATTTGTTCTGCAAAGTATTGAAAACTTTTACACGTACTTTTAAACTTTTGTTCGTACTTGCAATGGCTTCTTGTCCCAGTTCCTTTAATTCTCTTTAACAGTTCTTTTAAACAACAAATAGGTACGTAAGTACATTCAGTGACTCTATTATTAAACAATTACTTTTACTTTTAAATTAATAATAATGTTTTTCCAGACATGAATAACTTCAAAATGTGAGAAATTATGTTAATTAAATGAAAAAGGTAATAAGATTGGAGTAAGTCGAAAGAGTGCCTTTGTTATTATTTCACAAACATAGATAGTCGGTGACGTTTTCTTTTTGTTATTACGAGTATTAGATATTTATTAACGTTGAAGTCAACTATAGTGATTCTCGTCAATAATGATCTACCAAAGACATTAAGATATTTATAGGCAAATAGACTAACGTCCGTGGCAAGCTATTAGATAATAATTACAAGCACGGACTGTCAAAGAACAAACTATACTTCCAGAGTTTTTATTAAAAAGCCATCATCGTTTGTGAATTATTGACATAGTAATTAGCACACCGACATTGATGATGTACATATTTTGAAAAGGTAAGTGGGAAAAATAGTTCTGGTGACTAGGCAGCAAAAAAAAACACCACAACTTTAAAGGAAACACTATTATTTGTCGTAATTTATTTTGATGGTAACGGAATAGATATTAGTATTAGGTCCTGACCAGTTATTTTCGAACATAATTTGATCGATATTTTGTGTTATTGTCCCGCACGGAACAAGTATGTATTGCCTACAAATAATAGTTCCGGGTCTGGATGTTTGTCCTCGTGCAATTTATGTTTGTAAACTGCCTCCACGATACAGGAGAAAATCCTAGTGTCAGAGTAACGTTTTCTTTTACAAAAAGAATAAAAGAATTGTATCATGTATTGCAACCTTTACTGTCGTATGTACTTATTTCAGATCAACAATGTTCCCATTAAACCTTTTTGCTG